CCCCCGAACTTCCACACCCTCCCCCCCCCCCACCGCCACCTTGGCATGACACATCCAGAAGCTCATTTTGCATGCAGACTGTCAGCTCAAGGGGCTGCAGTGGGCAACCTGGGTTAATTGCAAAACCCATTCCCTTGCCTCGTGGACACAGCATGGCCATTTTAAGCTTTAATGGGCCTCCTATTCCTTGCAGACATCACCATCCTTAATCAGTCAGCAATGCGAGAGAGAAAGAGAGAGCTGTATTTATTTGACAGGTTTCAAGTAAATATGGGATGCTGGGAAAATCTCCGAGGGAAAAGGGAGGGGAAATTAATAAATTCGAGCCTTGGTATGTGTTAGTACTAATATCCCAGAGAAGGGAACCCGACACTTTAGTGTTTTTATTCCGCATGTGTTGAGAGGAGACACAAGATGCAATTTTAAGGGCTGTGGATATGCCACTGGTGCAGGCCAGAAACAATCAAGGGAGCATCGAGGTTTATTTTATTTATTATTCATAAAAATATTTTATGGGTTAGATCGCATAAATGTAGACGTGTCGTAAACCTGCCTCCACCCGACACAGCCAATCGGTAAGGTTCGTCACGTGAACAAAACTTGATCATTACAGTAGTTATTACTTCAGCACACCGGTGTTTCGGAGAGTAAATCCACATTTACTATTTGAGTTAACGACGTCTCGCTGCTGATTAAAACCAGCGTCATCAGGCGATTGCCAATTCTCGCAATTTGCCAAGTCTATGACGAAAATACAAGAGTACAGGTTTATATGCAAGCCTATGTAAGTTTGGCTAAGTAAGTCTTGGCATCAATGTGTGTTAGTCCTTGGGTCTCTTATAAAAATAACTGTTTAAAACAATATTTATTTCACCAGGTATGGCCCACTGAGCTTTATAGCTCTTTTTCAGAAGCGACCTGGTCACAAATGATAGCCGAATGAAGTGGCTTATGTGGAAATTTATATCAGCCAAATCCTCTAAACGCATGCTCTTCAATGTGGACGGAATAACCAGAGGACCCGGAGAGAGAGAGAACACGCAAACTTAAAATATACATCTTCTTGGTTTTTTCGGTAAAGTCACGTAGAAGGGAAGTAATAAAATAATAAAAATAAAACATTGTGTTTTATTTTTATTAGAAGGGAAGTAATAAAATAATAAAAATAAAACATTGTGTTTTATTTTTATTATTTTATTACTTCCCTTCTACGTGACTTTACCGAAAGAACCAAGAAGATGAATCCCTGCAGTCACGAAAGCTTTAAATCGAAAATTAAAATATACAGCAGGCGTCAGGGTCGGGATCGAACCCAAGACCACCTGCATACCCAGCCGAAGCATTTTAACATCTCCGAGCCACCGTGACGCCCCTGGCTGCGGATGTTGAAGTAAGGACAGCTGGATGTGACTCGGGGAGATGCACACAACAAAAGTACCACAAGCGAAATGCTGACCACGCGAAATAATGGGACTTGGAAGAAGACGACGCAAGCCAACGGTGCGCTGGTGCCGTCACGGCGAACTCAGCGGCGTGGTGCCGGGCACACATGCGAGGCTGGATGATCGCGGTTAAGCGGCGATGACCGGCGGCTACGATTGGGAGGCCCCACAGCCCAGCGTGTGACGGGGGATGGTGGCGGGGGTATCAGTGCAAGGGAGGCGCGCGAGCACAATTACAGGCGAGCTGGCGCTGGCTTTGGTAATTAGCCTACCGCTGGCAGGGAGCTCCCGGAGGTATCACGCTTTGCCCTGAAAATAACTCGAATCGCACAGCTCTAGAATGCACCCCACGTGTATGTATGCACGTGTGTGTGCGCATTACGGATGGGGAGTGGTGGCGCAGTGGTTAGCGCGCTGTGCTGAGAACCCGGCTGACCCGAGAGTTTAATTCCCGCTCACAACCAACATCGACGATGGATAATTGAACCTGGTGTGGTGTTTCAGCGTCAGAATTGGGGAGGCAAAGGTGGCCGGGAGTGTTGCTGCGTCACATAACTGCCCCAACAATCGATTAATGGCTGCATAGGGGGATCTTCGTCTCGTCTTAGTGTTTGGGATGAGTTTCAGATTTAATTAAAAAAAATGTATTCCCAATTTTGGAATTTCGTATTTTTGGGATTAGAATGTGTTGATTGAATAATTGTCATTTGTTCATGCACTAAATTCCAATTGTTAAAGAATTCGATATCAAGTGTGCATTTTGTGTTTCGTAATAATTTCAACTTGAAATGCTCTGAAGAGCGACAGGCAAGCAAGAAGGAAGCCCACGCGGTGAGCTGGTGCCAACAAATGTCCCAGCTGTGGAGTGCTCGAAATCAGCGGTCCCCAACCTTTTTGGCACCAGGGACCGGTTTCGTGGAAGACAATTTTTTCACGGACGGGGGGGGGGGGGGGTCATCATCATTGGGTCTTTCCCCTTTTTCAAATAATCTCTCCAGCGACGTTTGTTTTTTTTACTTATTTTGGCTCGGGGTTAGCAGCTTGTGGGCTCACCAAAACTGTGACTGAGACAAATGCGCAGTGAGGGAAGGAGGCGCGGACGGAAGTGGTAAATAATAAAATAACGGGCGGGCCACATGCGGACTCACCGCTCTCACCTCCTGCTGCTCTGCGGCCCGGTTCCTAACAGGCCACGGACCAGTACCGGTCCACGGCCCGGGAGTTGGGGACCCCTGCTCCAAATGACGAATCTTTTAGCCCATCAAGGACGAGTGTTTGTCCATGTGCGAGGGATGCGGAGCACCCGGAGAAAGCCCCCGCGTGGAAGGTGGCAACACTCGTATCCCGTACATGTGTAAAAGATGCATACCTATCAACCCATAGGGTTTACCCGTATTATTGTGCAGGTAAATTGAGTTTCCGGGTCCATACGGCGGACAGACGTTTCAATGCGGGCAAAGAAAGTGTATTTTTCTCCCTTGTGATGGGACTTTGTAGGATGAACGTTGATATGTATGAGGGTACCGGGTGACCAATACGGTCTGAATTGGTCTGTAATAAGGTAGGCAGCACTGATAAGGTATTCACAGGTATGCAGATGGGTGTTCATATTGACCGTACCACCTCTTGGCAGGCCAGAGTTAGGGCACTTCGATGCCGTCGGGAAGGGAGTTTGACAACATTCGCGCGACCAACGCAACAACCCTCGTAGCCCCTCCCCTCCAGTGCTTGGATTACAGTCCACGTGCAGCGAACACCACCGAACCGTTCAGTTGAAAAGGTTTCATCAGCACAAAAGTTAATGCAAACATTTTACATGTTTACATAATTTAATCAAAGTGAGGTAAATGTAACGACACGAAAAAGCAGATTAATACCAAACGTTGTAAATCATCCAAAATGTCATGTATTGCCCCTAATTTTTCGGGACTTTCGGATTCGTCAGAATGCATATAGGGTGTTGTATACGGTTGCGAAGCTGTGTATGTGCAAATCGTGTGCTGTGACATACCCTATAGTTGAAATAAAATGCGAGCCTTTTTGCAAATTCGAAGATATCACTATGATGTAATTTTGTTGAAAATGCTACACGAATTATGAATGTAGTAAATCGGCTTGGTGAGCACTAAAGCGCATTATTACATTTTGGTCAATAGCTATTTTTGTTCATTTATTTTACGAAAAATATTTCCAACGTATTTGTGCTAATTAAACGTATTTAATAACCAACAGTGGGATGTTTTGAAACCAAGACATAGCGACCTGTTATTTTTCAAGATATTTTTTACAAAATCAAATGTCCTCAGTCTATTTCAGAACCCCATTCCCCCCCAATTCCTTTATATAAAAAAAAACAGGGCATTATTTTTCCAGAACAAGCTAACATTTTAAGAATAACTGTATATACAGACTGAATGTGGGGGACCGGTGATGCAGTCGCCAACTTATGCTCACCAGTGGTGAAGTATGGTCTAGCAATCCCCAAGGATAACAAAAAGCACGAGAGGGCTTCATCGAGCAGTGGATTGACAGTCTGCAATTTCTTTTTAAATTATACCATATCAGGGTTCATTAATCCGCTCTTTTGGTGATCCTATTTTGTGAAAGGCTCCAATCTCATCGTCTACAAGATTCTTACAAGGCAGACGGCAATCCAAACACAGCCTCTGATGACAAATAAAACCCTGCAATTTTCTTGGCATAGTGGGCTCTTAAGCGCTCACAAAGCAATGCCGGCCAGCAGACTGCGCTCGGCACAATGGGTCTCGCACACAATGGCACGGGGCTTTTTTCTCTTTTCTACCACTCGGAATGGCAGGCGAAGCATGGGAGTCTTCGGTGACCTGGAGTCCCGTGGGGTTGAGCCCTCACGAGCTCGACAGAACTCGGCACACTACAATTTGGACAGATACGTCACTGTAACGTTTCAGGGACATCTTAACAAGCACCTACTTTTTTCGAGGTTGAGGGGAAAAAAAAGAGCATGGAAGTGTAACAGCGTGCACATTTGTGACAGCACTGCCAGTTTGATAACGTTGAGAACATGTTTTCACACAAGTGTTTCGTATCAAGTTCACTGTAGCGCAAGGTTTTCACTATTTTTTTTATCCGTTGCCAAGCACAGGGACAGATTCGAAATCCCAAAACGGCGGCCAGCAATACAACAGGAGTAAGAGAGTTAGTTTCTTTCATTGAGCAAGGTTATGAAGAACTTGGGGAAAAAGGACAATGGTATGGAACATTCCAAAGTCGAGCAGTACGAGGAAATAAGCAATTGTGACCTGGCAGTTTGTATAACTTATTTTGCATCATACGTAGCCAACTGTGCCAATCGGAGGTGTGGGGCGAAGGACAACACATTTCATACAAAAATAAGTTCTAAAGAAATGAGTTCTCAATTCAGGCAGTGTGGCAATTGAACAACGAATGGATGGCATGACAGTCAGACCTACTCAACGTGGGTAGAGGCGTTAATGAGTGTGGTGCCACTAATTTAGAAATTTGCATCGAAGGTACGATGGCAAGTAGCTCCTACTTACAAAGACCAATACAAAACTGTTAAATGTGAAGCCAACATATCATCTTTATTAACACAGACATGTATTAAATAGGAAAGAAATTGCCATGTGGAATTTAAACAATATTACCAATCACATAGTAGTTATTTTTACACGTGGATGGGAAGAATGTCGCAATTTTTACAAGCCGAATAAGACAATGGTAATCGTACGTCCAAGGTTGCACATACCCTTTTTAACGTCTTTCCCACCAGTATTCACACGAGACCCCTGGATAAAATGCTCAACGTTATAAAAGACACTACACAATTTCAATATGCACGTTTATCAATGAACCTTGGATTTCAGAATAGCCTTCAAAGATTTCATTAACAAGAAAAAAATGTACAAAAAGCATGCTCTACTGGGTCAAAGTAAAAAAGACTAGCTCAGCCAATTCATAAGTGCTTTTTCACGTGGGTTAAAACACTTTGGAACCAGACTTTGTTTTAATCTTTTTTAAATATTCCTTATGGGCAACGCTCTTTCCTGTTTGGAAAAGTTACGTTGAAAAAGCCTCCATTTCTACAATTGCTCTTTGCCAAATCAAGCTCTTAAAATTGAAGGGATGGAAAATTACACGTGCAATTACTATAATTAACAAATCTACATAAGTCGTTCTAAATAAAATACCAATATTCTGGTTAACGAAAAAATATGCAAACAAATTTAAATAAGCTTGGCCATGTACACAAAGTTCCCAAAAATGTGTAGTCAATTTTGACACGAGTTGTTTTCCTATATTACAATCCACACGTTCCAAATGTACCAATAAACTCATTCACACATGGACAGTTCAGTATTAAAGCTCAAACTGTGCGTAGGTACAATGCGAAGAGTTTTCAAATATTGAGAAATATGCCAGTGTAAAAACCCAGTCGTGAGTTTCTGACCATCTCAAAATCAGGGATTTCTTTTAAGGATAAAACCAAAACAATGCAGGTTGAAAAACATGGTATTTTCAGCCTACATTCTGTAATGTTACATTCTGCAAATACTATGTTACATGAAAAAACCTTAATACATGAGAAAAATAAAACACGTGAGAGTTAACTTTCTTTTGAAAAAAATAAGATGTACTGTAAATAAGGTTTAACACATTATACAGGGTGGAACTATACACGCAATCTGACATTGTTTCAATTGCAGAGCATACTGAAGTAAAGATGACAATTGCATTTCTAAACATGTTCCAAAAAAATGTGCACTGTAATAAACAGAAGCTAATGTATCAATACATTCACACAAAATGCACCTATGTGCAAGAACATTTGTACAATATAAATTTACATCCCAAAACAACGTATTAAGTATAAAGGGGCTACAGAGAGGAGACATCTTTTACAGCTTTCCGTCTGACATTGTCTTGGCAACCAAGAGGGAACAAGTGGATGGTAGACGTATAGAGGTCAGGGGCTTTTATACAAGGCTCTTTCGATGCCTGAGAATTGGGGCAAACATGACGTAACGGCAATGTGCATGTCCTCCAAATCAAAGAAAAGGTCTAAAGCCTCTGCAGTTTAAAAAATAATTTGGATGTTGCATGATGACCTCCTCCAGAAAGATGTGTGAATATTTGTTGAATTTTTTTTTTTAGATTTTGATTACTGGCCTGGGGTAAAATTTAATTGCCCAGGCTAGGGTCCCGGGCGTGGCTGGCCAGGGAAGGCCTGCTCGAGGAATGAGCGATAGGCCGTGTGTTCCACGTAGTCCTCGGAGTACTTGGGGTTGAGCACACGTTGTCGCTTCGAGTCCTGCGCCACCATCTTGCCGTAAAAGACGTCGTCATATCGCATGTCCGAAGCCTGCGACTGTATGCACGCCAACAGAGAGATATAATACCACATGTTTAGCATCATACACTGTCGGTACAAGTGTTGTTAATGAGCACTTTACGGATTACAAACTACACAAAGGAGTGTTGTGGCCAAAACCATACCTGGCTGCTATTTGTCTCTTTCGTGCCGATTTGCAAATTGCGACGTGTACTCATTTGAAGGCGAGATGACCGAGATGTGCCCCATGATTAATTGGCGCTAAAGTTGTCTATGGTAAAGAATCAAACTGCATTTGCTGGGTTTGAAAGGTGGTGTGCAAACCACTGCACAATCAATCACCCAGGCACGTGAGTTTTCTAAAAAAAACGTGTTTTTCTGCACAAACACCTTTAAAAGGTAATCCAGAAAAGGACATTGCTGGACAACTGCAAATTATACAACTTATCACAGGCTTTCATGGAAAATGTCATTAAATAAAAACACTTATATTGTGACTGCTGAGTGTCTGCAAATGCATGGTTGTTTGTCAAGGTTGTTCCAAAATTAACATCTTACCAGCCTTGTCTTGACCCTCTTTGGGAGGTCCTCATTCAATGTATAAATGTCTTCTCGCTTGGCAGTGTTCTGGGAGCCATCTTCAAACTCAACCTGTGACACATGACATTTCTAAGTCAAGAGGATAGAATCCAAAGCCTTCTAATGACATGCCTATCAATCATTGTTAGCAAATGGCAAAAACAAGAATGCAGAAAAAACCCAAATGCCTGATTGTAAACATTTACTCACAGCGCTTTCCAAGGAGCTCCAATGTAAAGGACATCCTTCACACAAACTACAGCTTTCATTATCAAGTGGTCAGCATGAGACATAAGTGGAACAATCAATACAACAATTGGCAATTCTTGACAGCTAATATAACTTGGGCACAATTCAATATTTGGGCCTTGAAAATTTTCCACAATTTGTCACCTGTGCACACAATGTGAAAACGTGCCACAGTTCTAACACTCAATCAAGTGCCATTTGTAACCTTCTAGCCTCTTGTTGGCAGAATGTCTTTGAAATTAAATTTTCTGTTGGGGTTTCAACAGAGACGGCTCTGATATAAAGAATACCTTCACTTAAAACGAAAATAAGATCAAGGGAGGCACAAATATTATTTCTAATGTTTATAAAAGAAAAGTTATTAAAATTACAATGAAAGAACTGTATTGCAGAGCATAAAAATATACCATAACATAACAAATATTATACAAAACTTATTTTGAATATATTATTAACTGGACAGGTGGCTCAGCAGGACAAGAAGGGGCTCGTGGCCAGAAGGTTGTGGGTTCAAATCCTGGGGGAGGCGGGGGGGGCGGGTTAACTCGGCCCATCAGACCTTCAGGGTTGTCATATGGACGACTCGCCCCTTCCATCCAAATGCAGAACTTAAACCACTGGCTCAGTGCTGTAAACAAATGAGTACTGCCCTCCATGCTCAATATAAGCAGATAACTACTTAATTTGTTGACGATATTAATACATTTTCCTTCCCTTTAACAATGTACCACCATTTTGATTTAACCTTACAAGATGCTTCTAGATTTGAAGTTTTCGTGACTGCAAGGATCCATACTCTTTGGTTCTTTCGGTAAAGTCACGTAGATGAAAAATATAAATAATGAAATGAAAATAACTAAATAATAAAATGAAAATAAATTACAAGATGCGTTCCGATTGATTGTAACAAATGATCAGATTTCTTAGTTCATATATTAATATATGCTTTAACACTCATGTCGTACACAGAATAATACAACTTATTTATCACGAGAATACAGGGGGGCAGGGCAGTATCATTCATTACCAGCCTTTGTACATCTAATATTAGATGAAAGCCATCACATCACTCTTGCACAAGAACTGATGTCATAGGTTCGTCTCCACAATTTCCATCTTCTCAGTTGTGTTCTCTCCTTCGGCTGCTATTCCATCACCACGATTGTCCACCAATAACAATCTGGTCTGTGTCATACCAAAGTCCATTTACTTTTCTCTAGAGTCAGCATGTCTGACTCTAGAGTCCATTTACTTGCTCCCAGATCCATGTACTCCTATTCCTGTCTATCAGAGCAAGTCCAGATATGCATTCTGATACATTTGTCAATACAGGAAACAGGACAGGCTACTATGTTTATTCTTCTGGAATATTGATAAGCTGCCTTGATCGATTTCAACTTTTCTAAATTGTGCCAGTGAGCACCCATTAAGGGCAGCATAACATGCAAAGGAGTGACGGGGCAGCACAACAACTTAGTCGCCAAAGCTCCTCAGTACTGATGTCCATATGCTACACCAGATACTAATGTCTCTACCCAGAATTTATTCCAACTGTGCCATCAGTGTTAAGCCATGAGATGAAGAATTGCAGTGTGCTCCATGGGTCAGAACAGGATACACTATCCCCCAAACACTCATGAGATTGTCTAATTATTAAAAAACTAATTAATCATTCTTTTGTTCACTTATTGGTAGCCTGGCTACACGTGGGAACATGGCTTCATTACAAGCAGCTGCCGAGATTAAAACCCAGAAATATCTCAGCAGTGCCGGCTCAGACACCAAGTTCTCATTTATGCCGATTTGAGACCTAGGTGGGGGGAGGACAGGGAAAGTTCAGATATTGCCTGCCACAGAGGACCATGGTCAGGAATTAAAAGGTCAGGTAAACAAGCATTGCGGCATAGTGGATTAACCAGGCCCGTCACTACTCCCCACACGCAAAAAAAGACACCCGAGAGAAACGTTTCTTCTCACCTGGAACATTTGCATGGAGTGAGCCGCAACGAATTTGGCTCCGTACAGTTGACCGTCGGTCCAACGCACGGTAACTGCTTCGCCAGGCGCAGGCGGACCGAGCACCAGGCAATTGTGACTCTGTACAACAAAAACCAGCAACAAATAAACTTTACTACAGAAACCACGCTCAACACCTCCCCCCACCCCACCCCACCCCACATGATAACATTCAGCAACTAGCTTGCCAACCTCATGGCAACAAAGACACACAACTCATTAATTATATTTGTTGTTACACTGCAAGATAACACTCGTTTAGAGCAGCAATACAATCACATTGTCGCCTCTGTTTTTCCTGAAGTATAACCCCCCCCCCCCTTTTTAATTTACATTTTATGTTTTCTGAGTGGCAATAAAATGCTAATAAATCTGAGTAATCTGTTTCTTAGATTAAATCGTAAAAACAAGCGCAATCTGCTCTGGGCATTCATCACCATGTATTTAGTATGATTGAAAATTTATAGCACTCGTCAAAACGCAAAAAGGAATCAAGTAGTAGATTTAAACAAGCTGGTCAAAAAGTTTTGACAACAGACTAGTACAATTCATAAAGGTCCTTTTTAGCAAGTTAGCAAGAGAGATCTGTGGTGCATCACCACAGCACAAGAACTACTGGACATCTGTGAAAGAAAAGTATAAGCTCGTCAGAGTATTCCAGTATGAACAAATAAAAGTTGTGCAGACAGGGACAAAAATCATTACAAGGTGCAGGCAAAAACTGCTGAAAGAACGATTTACAATATTGACGAAATAAACTATACCGCACCAAAATAGAAACATTGCAACAAAAACAAGGATGTAGTAAATATGCGCTCAAGACTAAGCAAACACAATCGAGCGAATAAAACAACGTAACCATCACGGGAATGCCGAAAGTAACAGCTAATGGGTTGGGTACCGGTGCATCAACAAAACTGTGCATTCGGAGTTTATTTGAATTTGTGGATGAGCCGAACCCGAGCTCAGACACAAGGGCATTTCCAATAACGTGCGGCAGTGTGGAAGGATGCATCACCAAACCTAGTATTATAAAAACTGGTTTTTTTTTTTTACTAGGAAGAGGCTGCCCCCACTGGGAATTTATCAGATTAGGAGGTGCTTTAGATATTTGCCACATTTGTTTAAGGACTTTTAGAATAAAGACAGCCCAGTGGTGGTCTCTTCGGTTGTCAAGGGGAGATAAATTGAAAGGGATCTAGAGGTTGAAATCATGCATTCTATCGGGGGCGTCAAGGGCAAAGCAGAAGACCCAGTGGTATAATGGAACAAGACGTTTTAAAGTGATTTCGAAGAATAGACAGTAGATGATGTCACAATAGTCAAAGATGGGGAGAGGATGGTGGCCTTTGACGAAATGACAGTTTATTTCCGTGGAGGAATCAAATTTGATTTTTTTTTTATCATATTGGGCACATTATCAATGTGGGCCCTCAAGGACAGTTTTGAGTGCAAGATAACTCCTATATAATTAATGTTATTGACCTGTTCAATGGGATGCGAGTCCAGGGACATAATGTGCAGGAGAGAAAAATAGGTTGAGTAGCTGGAGAACAACATGACGTTAAGTCTTTTAAGCACTAAGGAATAATGTTAAGGAATTAAGCTGGAGTTGTGGATTATCAAATGGCTGTTCAAGCTGTCATTGTAAATCGCCCATTGACTTCCCAGAGTCCATCAGGGCTGTGTCATAAAAGTACAGAAACGCACCAACTTGGCAACGTTATTAAAATGGTATGAACGTTTTCTAGCTAAAAAGAGAGCAGGCCAAAAGAAACAGCATTCTCCCATGAGTGAATTGTATGTGCCAAGAGACGCACATTATCACTCCTCTCGCAGCGTTCTCACCGTTATATCCTCGGGGAAAAGGTTGTCGCTGTACGATCCATCATCAAAATTGACCTCGTAGAAGGTCTGCGTGGTCAAGCCAATCACGTTACTATGATAATAGCGGCTGTTTTTGTGCTTGGAAATGACGGTCTGTCCGACGGTTACGTCCTGCAGGGCATTTCTGCTCTTCTGTTGGCAAAACACGTGGCTGTTCAATAACAGATATGTTGCAGCAAACATCCCACAGGAAAGCATATCATCAGGACTATATTTTAGGAAGGCCATTCATTGCATTAGGGTGTTTGGTCGATTGCATTGAAGTATTTTCCATATGGAGGAAAGAGCAGGTCCCAGAGAAAATACAATCACATGATTCTAATAACACTTAAAAGTCTGCATAGATGGACTTATTAACCCACCTTCAGTACTGCCAATAATTGACCTCACAACCGAAAAGATTTCAGAGTTTAACAAATCAAGAAACACTTGCCTCTTAAATGCTTGATCACAGGAGTGATCGCTCAGTAAAATCGTCACTTACGCTCACAATGCCCACCATGAATCAAGCGTGTGAGAATTGCTGACCAATTATGCAAATGCTATGGCAATGTCTACATTCATATTACTTGGGTAAACAAAACTCTATGAAAAAAAGAAAAATAGAAACAGTACAAAAGGAATTTGTAAAAGCTAGACAAAAAACTAAATTACAACAATTAACCAAATTGCCAGAGCCAAGGGTAAATAGCTTTTACGTGCATGCTATATTCCTACAGTCCAGAAACACGGTGTTCACACGTGGAGATAAGCAGGACCCTTTAGCCGCCCCGCCCACCCACTCATACCGTGCCCTGCGTGCCGGTCTTGTGCCGGCTGCAGGTGATGTAGACGGCGTACGGCCAGTCGTCAGGCTCCATGAGGACACCGGCAGCGTGGGCGCACGTCACGTGGAACGGCGTCGGGCAGCGGCCGTACGAGCACTGCACGCACGCCCCCTGCACCTTCCGATGCTGCTTCCGGCAGAAGATGCATTTCTGCAAACGACAACGTTGTTTTTTATTTCTTTACAACTTGCTTTTTCTGTTTAGTTCAGAATCAGAACATTTATTTATCCTGGAGGAATCTGACGAGCTATAATGCTTTTTGACACTCGTCTGGTATCTTATCTTCTTGGTTCTTTCGGTAAAGTCACGTAGAAGGGAAATAATAAAAATAAATACTATATTATTTTATTATGTTTTATTTTTATTATTTTATTACTTCCCTTCTACGTGACTTTACCGAAAGAACCAAGAAGATGAATCCCTGTAGTCACGAAAGCTTTAAATCGAAACTTGTCTGGTAGTTTCACAAATCAATAAATACTTGCGTCCTATAAATGCTTGCTCACAGGCATGAGCTATCATGCCTAAGTCACTTGGTGAAATCAATACTTATGCTCACAATGCTAGTCATCAATCAGGCATGTATGAATCGATTAAAAGTTATGAAAATGATAAGCACATGTTAATATTTGTTTGTTGCCTTTCCCCCACACTTCCGGTTGGCTACGTATATGTCAACGTACATTTTATTTAAGTCAACGATGACCAAGAATATTGTCAAGCGTGACGATGACTCTACAACTACCGAAAGACCCAAGCATTGTCGTAACGGGAGAAAGTTAACTTGTCTGAATGAGGACGCAGACTAAGAATATTGAGTGAAATGTATTAGAAGTGCGCCAAGTTAACTAATTAACGACCCGGTAATATTCGGCGGGGAACCTGCGTGCCCCTCACACCAACATTTTATAAGTGGACTGTTTTTTAATGCTTTAGTCAACTAAGACCAAGAAAATGATGTAATTAAAAATCCACAGACTAAGACTATCACTAAAACAAAGATGGTGCCTACATGACCACTGGAAACTATGCAAAAGAGTACCCGCTCAAGTTCATTTATTAGGTATAGCCCTGTGAGCCATTCAGCTCTTGAAATCGGGTGCAACCGCAACAAACAAAAACATGAACAAGAAAACATCTTAAAGTTACTATGTGCAAACAGAAAATCCAAGAAAAGACAGCAAAAACACACCCAGAGCGGAGTTACTGACAGCTAAATGTCAAACGAGCATGAGCCACAGCAGACAGCGGCGGTATTAACTACATTTTTAAGTCACTCAAGGAGTTGGTGGAAAAGTACACACAGTTCAAAAAAGGCACCATTTAATAACGAATTAATCTATGGATAATTTATGTTAGTCCTCAAAATTGTGAAAGCCAAATGAACGTGCAGCGAAAAGGATTAGATGTCATGCAAAACAAGCCTGACAGGCAGCCAACGGCACTCAATTGGGCAAAGTCTCCGTAGACAGCTATTAAAAATGCTAAAATAGATTATTTACGACAATCATATATAAATTACCAAACATTAAGTGCATTGAAGTCGTCAGTGCAAAAATAGCCTTCTTACTAACAATCCTATAAATTTACTTTCTAAAAACAAACCATTTGTATAAAAAAAAACATTCTTAGTTTCCAACAACCCACAAATACCCACACACACGGGGAAGCAAAGAGGACTAGCAATCAGAAAGATTTCCTTGAGGATGGCTAAAAGGGCATATTTATTGGCCTCAATTGTATAGCCCTGAAACATAAAATATACACCAAGGCAATGATATAGGTGGTGTCTATTTTGATTAACCCGACCAAATTTACGCAAGTAAAACAAAGATGAACAACTCTGGCCATTTATTTTTCATCACCTGCAGCAAGATTCAGCGTGCACCACAAACAGTTTAATTCCATTTGGCTAACGGCAGCCAATAAAACACAAAGTATTTCGGTTAAAAGGTGACTACATAAAAAAGCGATGCAATTTTTTACAGTGACAGTGAGCTAAAACGATCGTTAGTTTTGCAAGCAAAGCATCCCGAGTGCTAGGCAAGCGCGCAGAGCAGCAGCTGCTCAACAGAAAGTCTCCAAAGCGGGACTGCAAAACAGCTCATAGTGTGGCGGACAGACGGCGTCGGATGCTAATGACTTTGCTCTGATTAAAGAGGATCTGTAACTGGGTGCGTTCCAGGTTAAAAGCACATTTAATGTCCGGCGAGCTCTCCCTGCCTGCGTGAACTGGATTGCCAACGTCTGTGCACTAATCAGGCCCTGTCCCTTAATGGTTGGCAGAATTCCTCTGCAGCATTAACATTTGCCAGCTGTTTACAAACGCACATGTACAGACAAATATGTTGTAGATGCAATAATTTTTTTAACATTTTCAGCCTCATGAACGCTCAGATTTGTCTTCCGCAACTGCAAATAATTCTGCTCTACATGCAAACCAAGATGTCATTGTAAACCTGAGCTATGAAATGCTCAAGCACCATGAGCTAAAAATGTACCAAGGTTCAGCATGTTGGGTTGTATTTGAGTTCAAACAAAATGCTTTTCGAATCGAGTATGATGATCTAATTTAGCCTTACTGCATTAACAATCCTTTGTCAATCTACTGCTGGATGAAGACTTGCCCATGTGAAATATGATAGGGGCTGTTTGACTCTACTTCACCACAATGGTCAGTGTAGAGGTTGATGAAGCTGGGGGTGTGTCCTGGACCAGTCCAGATGTCACTCGCCACTGACGATAGTAGACTGGAATCGAACTCTGGTCATCGAGCTCATGGTAAGGGTGCGCTTAACCACTATCCTGCACTGCTCTGCTCCACCTTACGATAGCATATCAATAAGAAACCAAGTAAAATCAAACAAGTACCAGTTTCCACCGGGGAGGAGGGATGCGGCTGATGTCCACTGGTCTCCTCTCCATTACATTCACAAAGCGCGCCTCAGTCACTGCCACCGCGCACATCACGTGCACCCATCTGTAAATGGTCGCACGACATACGACACCCGCTTGTCAAGAACGCCCGCCCACACCACAACGGAGCATATCAAACGTGGTAACCGGGCGCAAAAAACTGCACGTGCAAAAAAACAACATCTGCCAGACAACATCACATCCGAGTGTTGCGGCCACACAAGCGCAACTCAAATCGACGTGCGTCTTGTGGTGCACGCAAATTCCACATGGACTGCACTTCTAACCAATCGCAAGCATCGAAGTGCAAAATAATTAACATCTTAAGATCAGGAATAAATTACTGCCCTACGAGAATACCTGCCAATCAAAATGTAAAACCTGCAAAATTATTATTTACCCAGAGGAAGGCATGTATGAAAATGAATCAAACTGTTTTATTTACAATCCGTAAAACCCATTAAGCATATGTTTGTTTTGAATCACAAAAGGTAATTGAAGAAGCGGCACTAAAACACTTCGGAGACGAAAAGTATTTGCACCTAAATGGATTTGGACCGTGTATATGACTAAATATGCTATGTTTATAGCCTGCGGAACGGTGCGACTAGGTGCACTATGCATCAAACTAAAGACTTCTGCTACCATAACATATTAAGGTATACGAGCTGTTTGGTACTGCGTGCTGTGGCCCTATGGAGACCACGGCTGCTGCTCCGTACCTGTTGTCTGTGGTCTGTTGGAGGGCGCCTCCTCTCAAATTGCACAGGCAGCAATCCTAAGATAAAGCAAACAAGCACAAATTACACAATAATTGCAAAACGAATGGATTTAGTAGCAACAACCAGTTGCACATTAAAAGGGACATCCATAATAGGCATCGCGACACAAAAAAAACCTGGCAAAGCAAAAAGAATTGATTTAAGAAATATATACAATTAGATATTGAAACATTTTTACATAAAAATTGTACACAAATGAAGCATACATATGTTGCATTTCGCACTCATAAGCACTGCTGTAGCTAGTTAAGCATTAAGTGACACCACGATTGAGCACTAAATAATTATTGCTGGAGACAGGTAAATTGTATAAAAGCAGAATGTAATAAAATGCAAATTTGGCTTCAAAACATATCCCTCTCCTTTGCAGGTCCTAACCCTAACATATACGAAACAAATATTAAAATAGATACTACCTCCAATACTGACATCAAGTCTGGTTAACTTTGACATTATGAAAACATTAAAGAATAATACATTGAAATTACAGTATATTTGATTGAGGTTTATGCTTAAGTGGAGGTACTATTTCAGTGATGGAATATTGCAATGTAGCTTCAGACTAAAACATTTTAGCAAAAGAAGTAAAATGGACTCACCACAGTCCAGGCCTCCGCAGCACATCGAGAGCATTTCCAGCCATCTGACAAGGATTGTGCCCCGACCCCATAACAACCTGTCACGGCAAACCACACAGCCATCACGACACACCATTACAGCACGCAAAAACCAATTACCAAGGGAGGCCAGCCACCGCCATTATGGCAGCACAACAAAGCTCGCCACTAATCGAGCCGAGCACTCTCTCACACGCGCGTGCACGCGTACACAGACAAGAAACGTGCCGCGCCGAACAAAAACTCAAGCACCAGTGCCACTCGCAAAAAGCTGGGTTTTTTTTAGGTTGAGAGATGTACACAGTCGACAAGACAGAGGTGAGCAAAGGGTGGGGGAGAGAACTCTTACTTGCGTGCACCTGCAGGCAACACTTTGCACAGGAGATGAGGGTGCTGGTGCCGTCCTCATTAAGCAGAGAGCCGCCGGGCAGCGGGTCTGTGTTCTCCCCGCACGACGCGTAGCACATTTCGGGGATGAGCGGCTTTGTCTGTGTGCCCACGGTGGGCACGTTCGTCCCAGAAGTGGTGCTTGAACTCTCGGGGGGCTCTTCTTCGGCTTCCGACTGAAGCCATACGAATGTGGATTTTGTTGGGGCGAAAATGTAATATAGGTACGCATGAAAAACACATGTAGACACGTAAAATGCTTGTGTGCTTCTGGGTGCTACAGAAGTAGAACGATTCTAGCCTCAAGGTTGCTCAGAGCAACTAGATGTTTCATCAACAGGAAGGTAACACTTTGCTAACTTTATTGACCAAAACTATTCCTAGTATAAAGGTATCTGACAAACATTCATGCTGGTCAATTAAAATACCATCCCCCGCATAAAAATTCTCAAACAAATTTAAATAACATCTTCCAAGAGAAACAGTACATTTTAAATAATTACACGTTGGATTTAGGCAGATTGTAAATGCAACTGCACCTCAAAGCAACCGTTAAAATAACATCCATGTGTAATGTGGCTATACGATTATCGATTGGAAAAGCCAATCTAACCAATTATTCACCAATGTACATGCTGCTAACAAGGCTTGCTATCTCTAGCATTGCTTCATGTTCCAATTTGTGTTGTTAAATGCTATTGTTACTGCAGCAGGCAATGTGGTCAGAATGTCAATAGGGGTTAAATGGAATGCCTGGGTTACTAAGCACTTTTATACCCCCTGAGACCAGCACTCTGGATGACTCTTAAAAAGGCAAATGTCTATATCCTATGTATCTTTTGAATCGAATATGTTACTCTGTATTGGGCCATGAAGTGTATTGAGTTTACAATATACCTGCATAGTCAAGGTCTTCAATTTTTTTTATTTCTCAGAATGCAGAGGAAAACGGAGCACAAACTAATTTTTTAATTGAAAGTCCATAGATAAATTTAGGACACCTGAGGATAACTTTGAGTGAGACTACAGGGGATGAAAACATTATTTCCAATTATTTAATCAATGTGACAAGGAATAAAAGTTTGTTTTTCAAAAAATACACTCATTCTACAGGAGTCTCTTCACATTTAATAGAGAAAACTGTCAAAAGCAGTGCATGTTCAACAAAAACCTTAACGCAAAGCCTCATAGCAGCTATGAAAAGAGGCGTAGAGTACCAAGTGAATAATGTGGTGTGTGGGTAGGCAAAATAAGCGCGCCTTACCCTGTAGTAGGGGTGGAAGAGGGTGCAGATGGCACAGTAGGGCTCATTGCGAGCTGCTGCCGCGTTGTATTCGCGCTCCGCCAGGAAGCTGTGCGGCCGGGTCTGCCAAAGGTGCGCCAGTGGCCGTGCCCACGACTCGGCCTCAGATTCCTCCTCAGATACCACTTCCGGCAATTCTGCGAGGAGTGTTGTGTTTGTAGACACGTTAGCACAAGGTAGGCACAATGGGATGGGCACTTGATACTGGGGGGGAAGAATTCACGGCTTATACAAATTAGGCATGATGTCAAAGATGTGTTTATGTTACTTTACAACTTAAACAGGCAGCACAGAAGAATGACAGAACATACGGTTTTAATTCGCCCAAATAACTAATTTTACAAAGACACTCATTATTCCTGTAGACAAGTCCACAAGAGAGCCCTAATTTCTGGTCATGTGGGTCAACCCTTAATTTCAAAGATTGGGTCACATTAAGCAAGTGCAGACAAAAAGACAGGAAAACCTTTCCAAGTGTGCGCCCTGAGAGACACGTGCACACGAACGATAATTCAAACACACCAGGGAAAGCACACCTAATTTGCACCAAGCACATGTAAACTTCAGATATAAGACGATAATAAAATGTGCAGCCCACATCTCAGAATAAAATAAACACCATATTTTACAAGTTATGCTGCCAAGGATTTTGCATACAATTACCTGCAGTTCAAAATTAAAATGACGTATGATGATAGCTTAAAAAATCAGCTTTTCTCTGCACAAGTTATTTCTTGGTTATATTTTATCTCTACAGACCTGTTTCAAATGCATTTTAATACAAGCAAGTAAGACTGAAAACAGAAAAAGATTGCTAAATTAACTACCAATTGGTTGCAAATTCACATAAAAGGAGATTCAAGTTACTGCCAATGCTCAGTAAACCGACCGAGTTTCATCAATCACCACTGCCTCCAGCCACCAAGCAGAAAAGTCAAAATTCTGCTAGAGCAAAATGTTGATGGTTGCGCAATATCAGGCAGACATCCACACCATTTGCAATCAATGATACCCACTGTGGAAAGAGCAGTCTTCCTCCTCAATGTCAAGGCCCCCCCCCCTCACATGAAAACAAACAGCAGGTGGAATTTTTACAACAGTTTCCCTCACACAGGCCCAAAGGCATGTAATGCCAGGCAACCAGTAACAAACAGCACCATTGATGGTATAAGAGATTACATATTTCTTGAAATAACCAAGGTCATGAAAAATTCGAGTAAAGGAGATGGGGAGTAATTCCAAAGTAGAGCAGTGTGAGGAAAGAAAAAGTCGAAAGGAAAAACATGTTTGGACCTGCAATAAATAGTTGCACACAGTATGGATGAGTCAAAACAGTCAGTCTAGTAGACAGTCCTAACATGGGTGGAAGAACAGTAATCCATGGCAGCAGCAATAAAAAATATATTTTTAAAAGTAATGAGACGACCGACCGCCAGCGAGCGAGCGAGTGACTGGAGTGACTCTGTGAGTGTTGAATTAATTATCAATCAATCTCACAGCTTTAGAAAATGAATTACTGCGGAGTGCCTCACACCTTCATCGCTGGGTGACTCCTGCTTCACCACGGAGATGGGGAATCGAATGGGCAGCTTGCTCAGGGGCTGCCGCCGGCTCTTGCTCCGCTTTTTGGCTGCCATCACCTTCTGGATGAAACGTCACCCGACAACCGGCAACGTCAGCACACAACCAGCAACCGCGGTCCTACACGGGTACTGTCCACCTTGTAGGACATTGTTTTTACCCGTTCGTTCCCAACAACAGGCGTGTCCACTATTAGAAATTTCACAATCATTACTCAAGTTTATTTTCAGAGATATGTAAATCTTTGCCCCCTTGTAAAAATCGACGAAACAGGGATTTAGCAGTTATGTTAAGTCCTATTTGCATAGACAATATGAAGTCTCTAAAATTCGGGATCTAGTCAATGCAATATATATTTTTTATGTTAAGGTAAATGTAGCAACCTCTAGTAACTGCAGGAGTCATGTAATCAAATATTGATTTCTTACAGGCAACATTCAATACACACATCATGGGCATAAAAATTAAAATGACAAAATAATGGATTATTGCATGCCTATTGAGAAGACAATTACAATAGGATTTCAGATATGAAACAGATGAATAAAAGGTGCATTCTGGCATGATGCACAAGTGTATTAAACACAGCCACAAGAGAAAATAAAATATAATTTCCAGACATGTGCAGGAGTGTGCAAGTGCAGAGTATATGGGAGGCATCAGGTGACCTTGAGTACATCCTCTGGGTTGATGCAGGCTTCGATGACCATGGCCTCCCCCTCACTCAGCTCGCCGGGGGACAGCAGCTCAAGCGCATCTGTGGCCGACTCGCCCTCTCTACGCGGCTCCTTTACCTTTCCGCTCGTGAACTGCATGAATTCCTCCTGAAAATACAAAAAGTCAGCAAGTGATGAAAAGGCAATTCAATCCTGTAAACAACAGTGTTGACGAGCGATTGTGCGTACTGTATGCGAGAATGTAAACTAGAACAATGTTAAGAATGCAAAACATTTTAAAAAGGTGAAACTTTAATGAAAAACACATTTTACATGAAAAGCACCTTTTATATACCAGGCATATTTAAATGTTAAGCACCATAGAGGTAACAACGTAACTACTTCGGGCAAAAAAGTCATTTCCACATTATGTCCATAGTAACAAAATAGTAACAAAACGCATTCCAACACAAATGATAAAATCTTACAAACGAAGTTCTACACTCGTTCACAATCCCATAACCAAAAATAACCGCACAAATCGGGGGGGGGGGGGGGGGGGGGGGTAACGTTCTTGCCCCAGCACGCACATGGGGCTTCCACTCCACGTACCTGGTAAGCAAAAGCATCCTTGTTGAACACCACCCGTTTGGTGACCTTGGGTTGCAGTGTGAGAAGCAGTTTGCGCTTGGCCCTCGGTTTTTCCACCGTTGCTGTGCTCTGAGGGCCATCACTAGTTTGTGGAACTTCCTCCACTTGCACGGGCTCTGGAAGCGTATCCACGGGGAACTCCTTTTGCTTCTTCTTGGCTTTGCCTCCTGGGGGGGCAGCATCTTTCCCACGGAGCTTCTCTCGCGGTTTCTTTTTTGTTTTCTCAATATGCTTTGCCAAATCTGCCAAGACGGTAACATAACAGCAAGGAAACATTGCATTACATTCATTTTACTTTGGTTAGATTTATTGTGGGCAAGGCCCACTGAGCTAAGAAGCTTAAAGAGCACATCAAATAACTGTTGTGTGTATGTGCATATGCTGCAGCTGGAAAGTAAAAAGTTAAGTTTCTTGTGTACTGTGGCTACATAGGGTCTGTTGTTGACAGGTATGCTTGCCAACTTAATGTACGTTAGATTTATTTGTAGGACTCATTTGCAAAGAAAAAGCCTGACATTCATCATCATCACCAGACACCTGTTTACCGTCAACTACAGCACGTACAACAGCAGACGCATCCTGGCTCAATCCCTGAGCATAAGGAACTCCATCTGTGTTGATACAAGGCTGGACCATCAATCGGCTACGGCCCAACACGCTCAATGCATGTCCGAGATATGGCTATGTGTATTCATGGTGATGCGAGCCAGGAAATGATCAAATTGTTTAATTAGCTAACAAATGGAGGGGCGTTGTTTTGCTAGATCCCTTGAGAGAACTCCAACGCAACTAATTTTACCAGTCATGCCAATGTACTGCTCTGTATGGACCATAAGGCAATTTGATTCAAAGCTATATATATATTACATAAACGAGTTATGAATGAATCGGGAATATAAAGAGCTAGTGGAGTTTAATTTACAATACAAGACCAGATACATCAGTGATTACCTGCAAGTGATCCATTAAACACAACGGCTGAGGGATTACACTAATTTACTTAATGACATTTACATGTCCAGAATCAGTCAGTGCCAATACATTTACACGTGGGGAGAGCAATGCAACATTATATCAGTGCTCTGCAAACATAATCTTTATTAGAATATTTAATTAGACTGGAAGAATCTGATGAGCTATGAAGCTCTTTTTCACATGTCCAGTAAACAAGGACAACATGTGCAGTAAGCCAAAACAACTTTTCACCATTTTATCCCCTGAAACCATTTTACCAACTACGGACATCAGCTATTAACCGACGAACTCTAAAAGCTTTGCAACACTTTTTCGCAAATGTTAACCTCCAATTGATATGACACAATGTCACTCAACATGCTATGCCATCTGAGACAAGAACGACTTGCGTTATGCACACGAATGAGCGGCAGCCCTCACCCCAGGTTGGGTCCCACTTGTCTTCGTCTTCAGATTTCACATCGACAGGCTCCAGTTTCACCTCTGTGTCATCAATATCTTCGTCCTCATCCTCCTCCTCTTCCTTCGCACGCACAGTCTTGAAGCGCAGCGGGCTGCGATTGCACGGAACGGCAAAAAACACGAGGGATTAAGTGAAGCAGTCACGTGATTTTCAAGACTGTGCTTGGCAACTGAATAAAGTTAATTACCATTCTGAGTCATTAGATTTATGCTCAAATAATGGGCAGCTTATTTAAAAACAGCACGTTTTCATATGAAGATTGTTTTTGCTCTTCTTCTTTACTCATGACAGTAAACAAAGCCTGCCTCCAGAGTTTAACCAATATATATTGACTTATAGGTTGCATTTAATATATTTGCTCGAATATTGTTTAGGCTATAAAGAAAATAGCTCCCATCAACACAATTAGTGCTGCAAACAATTTGATGCAAATAATTAGGCACCACCATACTCCTGATGTAAGAAACTACTTGAACATGATATGAAATACAATTAAACATGGCCAAGTTTTGACAAATATATTTCTAAAATCATTACTTTGACTGCACATCAATTATCTGTGCTTTACCCAGGGACCACACACTTTCTGTATTCATTACCTAGAGCTATGCATGTGTAAGGGATCTGCGAGCCACCCTCACAGACACGTACCACACAAACACGACATCTCCGCTCTCACTATAACACGCACCAATAACACGCGCGGGAATGCGCTGGACGGGGGTCAGGGGTTAAAGAGCAGCGACGTCACCGGCGTGCCCGACGCGGATGTGTATTGGGAGCGAGGGCGGAGATGGAGGAGTTAAAAGGGGCTGTGGGACGTGTGTTCGGGGTTGGTTTTGGAAAGAGTGTTGCTGTACGTTGGAGTAATAAATAAGTGCTTGAACAATTCTCAGACTCCTCTTCACATGCAAATTTTAATCTAGGTTTCTTTCTGGGGACAAAAATATTGACTTTTGATCAAACAACAATGCGGTTAACATAATTAAGCCATTCCACCATAATATTTTGATTAGATTGTAATGACTTGTATAACACTACAAACATGTAACACCATCAAACACATCCTTCACGACACCAAGATACTTTTTATATCCTGAGAATTATAATCACATTCTACTGAGGTGTTGACACAGTGAAGGATAAAATAAGAAATAATGGAGGTGGGGGGGATAAGGGTGCAAAATAAACAGAAACTTACCAATGCTTTAAACAATAAATTGCACAAAGCAATGAAAAAAATGCCAAATTGATTTTCTCTGCAACTCCAAACTATGCAAGTTGTGCTGCCTGCAGCTGAGTAATTGTGGAAGCTTGAGGCTGGGAAAAATATTGGTGTTCGAGTTTCCTTCATCAAATACTGCAGAATATGCCAATACGTTACCCACTTAGTCAGAAATTACTCAAGATTTTATTTTGTTTGGTGAATAGAACCTGGACATAAGGCACCGGTGCAGACTTCTGTACTGAAAGGATAAATTATTAAAAGTGACTGGCTCTACGGCCCAAAATATTGACTCAAAACTGAATATTTTTCATGTTAGAAATGCATATTTCTTTAAATTTACCATGATCTCATTATCCGATTACATTATTTTTCCATTTCACTCGCTATGATTGAAAATGCAACTACTCCTGCTGCCAGGTAGCACTTTTTGCTCCGAGTGTGTAAAATGCAAGCAAACTCACTTTTCCCTCTTCTTCTTCCTCTTGACTGGCGTGAAGGTGGCGAGGTATTCCTCCAGCTTGAATACCTTCCCAGTGAGGAATTCACTGGCTTCGGGGGTAGGCAGCGAGTGGTCCAGTATGTACTGATCCTTGCCCTGCTTCCACATTTCGTACCTCTCCGGCTGGAACTTGCGCACAAAGATGTCCATGGATATCTTGACCATGTCCTTCATGCAGGTGCACTGCAGGCACAGACAGGAGTGTGGCGACGACCACGTGAAGCACATTAACAAATTGGGCAGAGAACAACACAACACTCTATTCTGTTGTGAGAACAATGATGTGATAAGAAAGTCCATTAGGAGCTGCACACAGTAAATAAAATCACATTAAACAATGAGTTGGATTATAAAGGCCAGCAAAGGTGGCAAGAAATGGTAGATTTATGAATGCACATGTATTAGATGTATTTCCATAAATTTGTCTTTGAAAAAATATATTCTCTACTCCACATTGATTTAGTACTTGCTATTACAATTATGTAAGCAAGCTCTTTTTATTACACGAGTCCCTTTGGATGGAGACATTAATTTTCAGCCGTATTATTTTATTCAAATTTTTATTTAGTACGAAATCATTTGGTATTTACAAGCTGGTGTACACGATGGTATGCTGCACACTGGCATACATTTAGTAATTAACAGCAATAATTGAAAAAATTCCAGTCATAGTGCAGGCCACAAAACAGTTGTTTTTATGGAGAAACTTGCCTGCAAAGCTGCCAGCCCTTGAAGAAGGGCACAAAGGACATTTATTTTCCCACTGACTGAGTAATAGGGTCAGCTGTGAGCAAGCTCCCTCCATTAGGAGTAAATTATGTTAAATTATTATCGTATCCTCAAAATACAGTGCACAAAATCAAACATTAGACAATGTGCCGTGAAACCCAAATGTGTGCCATGCAACACTGCGCTATCTGTAGAAACGCAACATAAAGAAGACAAGGCAGTTCAGTTCCCTATCCTGTAAAAGGTATTAGAAAACTAAATGACAAAACATTTCCCATCCTCAGACCCACATCACATTCCAGGACCGACTAATTAACTTTTTTGCTTTATGGACTTTTCATTTATTTCCAGGGCAGCCCACCACTGTATGGCAGTGTCATCAAAAAATTCACAACCTTGAAAGAAAATTAATTGGAACGACCGAGCTGTGGACTGACTGAAGTTAATCAAATTTTTGTTTCGTATTATAACTCAGACATAATACTTGTGCAAAACCTATGCAGACAACCAAGCTGTGGGACATTGCGTAGATTTAATATTCCAATATAAGCCTTGGACGTCATCCAAGCATAATCTCAAAAAAAGGCCAAAAGTATGTGCCTCTATGTATAAATTCCAGTCTGGAAAAAAATCGTTGCTTTTTAGATTTAGAATCAGTCAAACTTTCAAGGAATGATGTTGAAAATAAGAAAAATAAAAGGTCAACAAATACTTATCCACAATCCTAGCCCTGGACAGCTACAAAACCTAAACTGATGTTTTAGAATGGTAATGGTCCTATTGTACAAAGTGGCCAGGTCATAAAAGCCCGTACTGCCACTTGCCCACCATTTGCTAACAATAACTACCCAAATAGCGTGCCTTTCACTCTCCGAGTACCATTCTCACACATCTCCTAGGAGGCTTGAAGAGTGGATATTCCCATCGCCATGCAAACCTGACAGTTCGTGAAAGTGCACAGCATCGGAGAAATTGCCGAGATATATTATCCTTCATTACTTGTCAGCACAAGGCAGAAAGTATGCTGCATGCGTGGGCAGTCGACCTCACCCCAACACAAGGCCACCCTCCGTACAAAACCCATCATGCCGGGGACAAAAAGGACAACGTTGCAGAATATAGGCCATCATGTCCAAACCTTAAAGTAAAGTAGCAGGCCACAGTAACACAATAACAGCTTCAATGAAGCAAGTATAGTTATAAGGTATTATTGAAGTTGAGTGAAAGACTGGATTATGATTTTTCAAAACCTTCAAATTAGGGACATTCACCAGGGTGGCGGTGGTTTAGGGGAACATTATTTTAAAGAAAACTTTGTTATAGAAAAGTTAAGGTAATGTGATAGCCATGTGGGAATGGGTTCGCTGCATCGATTTTTGCCTTCGACCAATTTCTTTGGTTTCTTGTCGATACCTGGCACGCCGGGGTTCACATTATCATGCCATACTCGAGTTGCAGGGAACGTTAATAACACTGTTATTTGACAGTAAAAGATAAGAATTCCCTAAGGGCATTAGGAATAACTGAGTCATCTAGCCTTGCATTATCAATGGATAATTCAGGCTGTCACTCTTGGCTGTGTTTGTTTCTGTAGGGATTTCGAGATAATCGATGTTTAGGGTTTGTTTTTCCAATAATTCCCAGCCTCATTTACCTTTCCCGTTCACCTTCCAGTCTAATTGTGGGCGACCTTGCGGTTTGGGTTTGCGTTACACATGCTATCCCACAGAAGGCACCGCACAAAAAAGGTCATGATGAGATGAAACCACGGGGACCCTTGGTGGTTGCGCATTACACTTGGGAGCTTAAGAGTGGCCTTTCCAAGGAGTGTTCATTACAGCAAACACGCATTTGTACCAATAATGTTTTAGTCAAGATGCAAATTGTAAAAAATAATTGCATCCTCTGAGCAATTACATTGCTATGAAAAATATGTCGTAAGATATAGTAACAATACTGCAGTTTTAATTCTAACATATGAAAACGCCACTGTTGGATTCGTATCCTCTCCTTGTGCAAATTACCCCAAGTTTTATGAGCAACTAAAATAAGCAATATTCCACATTAATGAAATTCCCAGATCTTGTGGTATTTAATTACCATAGTACTCATTTTTAGAGACTTCACTTCAACAGTGATCCACATTAAGTGCTTTACAACTATGTCACCTGTTCCAAACTCTGAACATTATTGATTGTGCAACACTTTGCTTGACAGGCTGGCTCGGGACCTTTATTAATTTGAGAAGACTTACCCAAAATGGGATTTCAAATTTTCATTTAGTTCATAATACCATTTATGATGTTTTTTATTTCCCATCCCCCTCCAAAAAATCATCAAAAGCAAATCACGAACGACTTATCAAACCATACTGGATTAAAATGTGAAAACATTTTGGTCATTCTCATTTGCATTTAACATAGTTGCATGAATCAAAGTTTGTATCACATTTGAATGAGCAAATTCTCAATTCCATTTCATTGCTTGTGCTTTTAAGTACAACGATCTATCATTTTAAGGAGCCTTAGGAACCAATGAGCTTTGAAAATCAAGTTCAAAATTCAACGGATTTGCAAGTAATGAAGCTTATGAGCATATTAAATCGTTAAACTTTGCCAAGTTATTGTTATTCTGATGATTGATATGACTATTTATTGTATTCATGTTGTGCAATGGTGGTTGATACATTCTGAATGAATTTTAATTTATTTAAATCAGTACAATTTCCATATTTGTGTTGAATGGCGCACGTGGTGCACATGCTACGAATTAATATAATCGTCAGAGTGTGCTGGGCAGGACTGCACATTTTTACGCATCATCTCAAAAGGACAAAAATGGTCACTGGAAGTATTATAATGTATTAAATAATGCAGGAGGCACTTGTTCTCTTTGAGGAAATAAAGGGCAAAAGATATGCGAGTAAATGAAGTAACGGAGGTCTCTAAAAGCACAAACCAGGGTTCAGGTTGCAGCAGTGGTCTGCAACCAGGCAAGACGAAACCTCCCCAGGGAGGATCCCTTTAAACTACTAACGGCAACGCACAGATCAGCATTGCGTACATCAACACACTCAATGGAAAGGGCAACATACGGCCACAAACAACACTCGCAATACACAATGCAACAAAGCATCAACCAATTAAAATTCACTTGGAAAAGTGGCACATCAACCAAATATATATACAAGTTTGAAAATAACCCACATAAAACAAGGCTCAATGTGTTCATATATAATAGTATAATTAGTTAATATTTTTACAGCAACTAAGTAGTAATGAGCAACAAACAATAATTTAAGAGAATAAATAGCAGCAAGAACTTGTGAGAAATATTCACAAGATGCCCAGGACTCCAAACCTGATTGATTTGAGCTCACAAACCCCAAATATGATATTCGGCATTATCGCCAACAAGCAGCAAAACAAATGCATGCCAATATTGCCTCAAGACAGAATGGTGTACACATTTGCCATTATTTTAAAGTGCACGTGTCCATTCGGTGGTGTTTGCTGCCACACAGTGGGAAAATGCCCTCACTGCATCTCAAATACAAATCAAAATGTTAAATATTAGCATCAATGTTTCCCAAAGCTCCCCCAGCAAGGAGCAAAACAGCACAACCGTGAAAACCATCCACAGTAGTATATTACAATCATAGTTTTCACTTTTAACTCCCATACAATGCTGCACACATATAGCCAAAGGTATCCATAATATTCTTGGTTCTTTCGGTAAAGTCACGTAGAAGGGAAATAATAAAATAATAAAAATATAAAACAATAAAATTCTCACGTTTCGACTGCAACACAAGCAATCATCATCAGGTGTGAATTTGATTGTTTAATATTTTTATTATTTTATTATTTCCCTTCTACGTGACTTTACCGAAAGAACCAAGAATATGAAACCCTGCAAGTCACGAAAGCTTTAAATCAAAATGTATCCATAATAGTTTATTTTGGGTTAGATCGCGTAAATGTTGTAAAAAAACTGTATTATGGATATTGGTCGCGAAAGCCTACATGTTAAACCAACCTAACGTATATTTCCCTGATATTCAATAGTAGTTACTTCCGTGAAAAAAATTTATTGCATTAGGGAACAAGTGCTGCAATGGCAACCACTGTAACACGAACAGCACAAAAATGAAAGCAAACTGCTTGCGATATTGACCGTATAATTTCACGTTAGCTCACAGCAATTACCACATCTGCATGCTTGGTCAGATTTCATGCACCAGCAGCTCTGCACAATGATTTGGCAAAGGAAATGTGAAACCACCAAAAAAAATAGCTAACAGTGCCAACACCTACGGCCCACACTCACCAACGTCGACTGCTTGCCGTAGTCAATCCAGCGCAATGTGGCAAAGTTGGTGGACTCGGCACAGTTGAAGCCATGGTTGAAGCCAGCATGGTACCCGTATGGAAATGTTATCATGAACTCGCCCGCCTCCTGGGTCACCTGTCACACAAAAATAGATCACATTGGTTCCAGGAATAAATCGCAAGCACTCCTATATGCAGGGATATGTTCTGCAATTAAATTTACAAGAACTGGCTGTCCAATGCTAAACGAATTACTTATATTATGAAACTAAGAGGCAATGCATTTGAAAATGGTCTCCCCCATGGGGGATTGTCCTAATAATAACTGCTCAAATTACATAACTGCTGACGAATTACCGTGGTGACAATTCTAATTGGCAATGTAAAGGGGAAAAAAATGAATGGTGAATGTGGTATAATATCCTCAGCAGAGCATGACGATATTCATTATTCATGTATATATAAATCTAGACTACATTCAAAAGTTAAACAAGCAGACAATAAAACATAATATATATGTTCAGTTTAAAAGTTCACTTGTGAAAAATAAGACTGAAATAATTGTGCTCCATACATTATTTGAATGGTCAAGTTACAAAAACATAATGGAATCACTTAAACTGACCATTTAAAAACTCAACTCATCTTAACTGCAAGATGTTATGCAAAGAAAATTACTATGGACAGTTTATTTCACACCGAATACCTTTTACAGTAAACCAACGCCTGCATATTTTAACATTTTCAACCACAAGGAGTTTAGCACACAGCTGTGAAGCAAATTAACTAATGCATACAGTTTTCAAGTACTCTGCCTTAAGACAGCACTCCACCAAGTGTAACAAAGCAGCTGTGCACGCTGTATAAAAACAGACAGAATGAGTAAGTGGAAGGAAATGCTCACCCTGTCGAAGGGGATCCCATATTGTCGCAGGATGGAAGGGGAAATGAGCGTCATCTTGTGGCGGAGAAAGGCATCGCAGCCTTGTGAGCTGCCAGGGAAAAACCCTGCACTGCACGGCAAACAGTAATTGACGCGGACGATTAGCAATCAATGAATATGAACTAATGGTTACTCCAAACGATAATGCTGAAATCGGTTAATGTGCTACAAAATATGTTTAAGCGCACATTACATTCCCTCTGATGAAGAGCATACTTTTTAGGTTATTATTGCTTATCATTATTAATATGATAATCCCATTGTAAAGGAGACGACACGTATATTTGTACACCTGCAATAAGGTAGCCGTTGAATAAGAATCGTAAACCGCTGCAACAAGCGATAAACATGCTACCGCTATCTTCTTGGTTCTTTCGGTAAAGTCACGTAGAAGGGAGATACTAAAATAATAAAAATTAAACATAATAAAATACAATTCTCACGACGTTTCGGCCACAACGCAAGCAGCCGTCCTCAGGTGAAGAACAGGTCTGTCGGAAAGACAGCGTCTGAATGAACACCGCCAGGCTTGGCAGCGTATATTTAAGCTGGGTTAGCTTAAATATACGCTACCGCTAGGTCACATCTTGTCTACCGACAGGACACTGGTTGCGATTTTCCTCCACCTTGTCCGGTGCTCATTCATATAGATCAGGTGGTTGTGATTTGTATGTACCTAGAACTTCTGTCGCACACCATGCTAATTGTAGGTGCGGGAGAAGGACAACAAAACTAAACATAAAAGCACGCCCAGTCGTATACTATTAATCTAAGTTCCCCTTGGGCATCCTCTTTTTCTAGATGGGTTTCTGTAACGTCTGATGCACCCAATGCAATGAAGTCTTATTCAGTGCTGGCTGGCTTAAGTCCTAATTTCTGTCCTGATTTGTGTGGTGATTGAGCACTATACATATTAATTGGTTAGATGTGCTGCCCATGGGATTCACAGTAACTTAGAACACCACTGAATTCCAAAAAACGTATATCATCTTCAACCAACTACGAGGTCATTGCTTGCAGGAATTAAGTCTTGCAATTGAGCTCACAAAAGTATGAAAGGACACAAGACGATAGATGAGGATTTAGTTTATCCAAGAAAAATTTTGATCGACTACTTTTGTGATAAATTACTCGAGCCCCCTTAAAAATGGCAGCTGCCACAACATCCTTTCTCCTGAATGCAGGAAACCCCCTTGTAAGTCACACTCTGCGATGCGTCCGACATTGCCAATGACAGATCCATGTCCTGCTCCATCACCTCCCATCCAGCGGACCACTAATGTAGTAATAAACTACTGAAATAATTGGATATCCCAGGTCTACATTACACCCATAATAGTCAATGAGTACACCACCACTGCAGGGGAGGAATGTCGATAACTTTTGATTTACCTTTAGCAAGACGCTCCAGTCGTTTCCCGTGCTCTGGGGGAATGGCGTACCTGCAGGGGGAGGGAGAGGAGGTTAAGTGAGCCTTGGGTTGCAGAAATTCCAAGCAGCTTCCCACAAAACGTAACTTTACACACTTGCTGTTGTCGGCATCAGAACAGCATAATAAAAAAGGGATGCTCTTATTTTGCAGATGCACAACTAAGCTGTGTGTTCCAGGTGGTCTAATTGTGATATCAACATCATGTTGTCAGAAACAATTTCCACTAATTTGCAGAAAGCTGTGCATCACATCATATTATAAATAGTTGCAATACTTGTATGTCACCGGGAGAGGCCATTAACTCACTACAATGAAAACAGATTGGTTGCAGACTCTAACCCAGGACCTCAACAGTACTAGATCAGTGTTCAGATACAGTATAAACCCTCCAAACAAACCGGATATCTTATCAAGAGATGACGTTTTTTGATGAGATAAACACTCTGCAGCAGAGTGTACGTGAATAGACAATCTAGATAAAGATGAGACTTGAATGGATTTAGCAGTTCTACAATCTATTTCCACGGGCCATTCTCTAATAGTGACACACTGCTCTGAGTTTTGAATAGATACTCTCCATCTCAAGAAATGCCTTTGATCACACAACTGGAATAAATGTAGGAAAGGCAACCAAAAAGTAGCAATTAGTTTTAATGTACCAGGACTTGGGTTCCCCAAAATGCAGGTAGTTGATGCTGTACAGATCCATGTCTTCTGTGTGCCAGGCAAATGTGGTCTTCCACATGCCGAAGTAAAGGTACGGTGTGTTAACACCATCAATGGTGATTCCACTGTCCTGCTCCACAACATCCAAGACTGTGTTCAGGTGACCAATGTTCCAATCCTCCACATCCTGTGAAGACAAAATATTGATTCCATTATTAAATTATTCTTACCCACGATGCAGGAAATTGGGCATTCGCAAGTATGTTTACTGATGATGCATGTTGTAAATATGGATATGCAAATGAAGCGAACTGTACAAATGAGATGGAACAAACTTAAATAAATAAGACGGTACATATTAGATAATATAGAATTGATTATTTAACATAATGGTGTCCATGCATCATGATAGTTGTATTACTGGAGGGATGAATCATTGCATGGTTAATACACAACTCAATATGGTACCGTTTCTGTTTTTAAGGGAGATGCAACCCAAATAAGTAATATTTAAAAATAATTTTTTAAACACGCTTTAATGAAATGTACCCTTACTCGTAATGGCAGAACTCCACGACTCCAGGAAGTGGCCACAAAGCTTGCCATAACGCAAGGGACCGTGGTGATTTACAGCCAAGGTTTGATGAGCGTGGACAATTAGACCCAAGCCGAAACATAAAAATAAATGTTTCAAAATAAATATTTTTTATAGAATATAGTATTGTCATCAGTATGACATAAGTATACCAAGTTTTCAGTGGAAACCACATTGGGAAGTGGGTTAAAATTGAGTTACAAGATTTGAGGATACGACACTGACGACAACGACAACAGACGGAGTAAGTTAAATATAAGCGTGTAAAAAAACTAATTGCTCTTTCTGGTAAATATATGACTAGGTTGTGCATTCTCATGCTGTCTGACATGCGTGGATTAGTTAATTAAATGAAAGGTTAGTTTTAGGACGTTAAAATCTACAGCTAAGGACAACTGACACAGCTCGCAACAGTGATGTCACTGTAGTTACCATAAGAAAATCTCACAGCAAGACAGCTCATGCCGAAAAAATATGCATGGCTTTAATTTTTAAGTCTTCTTTTCATTAACAAAGCCTTAAAGTTGTGACGAAGAGCCCAGGATGCAAAATATGACGATTGCATTTGCCTTGAATTGCACTTTACTTTAATGGCGTTATTGTTAACCATTACCCTGTAAAGTTGCAATTGAATTTGTTCTAGAGGGTCAGAAGTTAGTGGGTACATTGATGCTCAATTACCCGTATCCTTGATGAAAGATAACATCCTAGATGATACAACATGAACTTAATTTCAAAAGGTACATGTTTAGGAAAATTTTGCGATGCATTTGCACAGGTACCTCATCATAAAGCGACCCACAGATATCGGCACCATAAATTGGTGCCACGAAGGTAAGATTTTTCCAATACTTCCGCTCCAGGTCATCGTAGTCTTGGTGCCTTGGTGTGCAGTGCCTGAAACAGCAAGGAGAGCATCGTTAAGCAATGACATTTGAAATGATTAAGTGCCACACATCTAGATCCATACTTTACTTTCCAGAGCATCTTAGCACGATACAAAACATTATTATTAATAACCTTCATCATACTGCTTTGATGCACACATTCTTAACAGACTAGAGTTACGTTTTTTTACGTGACAATTTTCCACTGTGCCTTTTTACAATCCTCCGAAATTAAATTCTGAGACTGACTAATATATACACACAAATCATTGTGACTTATCACACCAAGTTCTGCCTGCTCGTGTAATATGTGCTAGGATTCAATCTCACTTTTGGATTAAAAACCTTCTGTACATGTAAAAAAAAGCCCTAGGAAATAAATTCCAACTATTGTTATATGCAGCACAATTCATCAACTGCATTGCAAACACAACATTGAATTATGACAGACTTTCAGCAGCAAAAAACAAATTACGTGTCTCATTCCCAAGGCAGCTATGATAAAAAGAACACTCAATGAGTTATGGACAACATTGAAGATTTTCTCACTTGTCGCTGTTGGCGAGACGGCGGTAATCTGCAACAGTCATGGGCTTCTTTTGAATGTTGTACTGTGTGAACAGGCCAGACTGGCCTGTTACAACCTGCTGGATCGGTGCCGGGATGACCAGGTCGTCAATGTTGTCATAATTATTTCGAGGTTTCCACTCTTTGGGAGGAATCACCTGTGAAACGGGATCAGATAAATACAATTATAATCCATATAGCTATGAAACAAATGGGCAAGCAGCTTTCCTAAACATTTTCTCACAAGTAACGGAACACTGCATACCAACCTCTACGTGGCACTGACAAAATTCACCACTATATTACTACCAAATCTTTAAAACACAATTCTCTGGTGCTCGATGACAATTACTTTTTATTTCTTTAGCACACCCAATTATGCGAATAATCATTACCGTTTTTAAAATCCTTGACAAAAAGTGCACGTGACAAAATTAGCATCGGAAAGAAACATCCAAATATATATTGCATACATGCATGAGGTCTGGCACAATGTGGTGGAAAGTTTAAAAGCCAGTGCTTGAGTGATTGTCACAACCACTATACCACAGTGATCTGCTATCAGTTGACCACAATTCAGATAAAAAATAGTTTTTCACAATATTGGTGGTTTATGTGTTGGTGCAGTGAAATATATCGTTCTTTGTAAGTTACCACTCCATCTGTGTTTTATATTGGACAGTCTGCACTTCAGATATTCTACCAATAAAACGCACCATAATTTGAATTGTGGGCTCCTGGTCTACAGTATTATTTCTAAAATATTGAGTAAAAAACACAATTTCTAGCAAAGTAAAACCATGATAAATTCAATGTCATTTCGAAAATTGCGGATAAAAATCACAGAAAATTGATGTTTAGTGGAATTGAGGGTGACCAAAAATACAAGAAACTCTTTTTGATTAAGTTGGCAGATATCGTATGTATGTGAAGGGATGCATTTCCATGCAATTAACTAAAATCTACTGGGCACAACAGGCTGGGCAGAATGGAAAAAGCACGCAAGCTCATTTTATTATCCCAAGTGATGCTCATTTAATCCCAGGACATTAGAGCTATATTAAGTGTGTTCAACTGTACAGTCACGCCATAGAGCACAACATAACATCTTCATTCATTGCCTTGTATTATGCCTTAATTTTATAGGTAAATGAAAGAAAATGTTAGAAATCACCACTCTGAAAAGTAACATTACCTTGACTTTGACCAAAATAAACATGTGCCTAATCTCATCAGATATTGCAAGATAAGCAGGTCTGGTTAGTACTTAACATGGAAGACTGCCTGGGAATATCACATGCTTAAGGCTTGCGCTGTATGGTGCCCAGATGGCATTATAGTAATGGATACATGAATAAACACAGAGCTTTGAGTGTTATTTCCTAACATGTGGGTTTTATGGATTTAGCAATTACAGTAAAAGCTTGGATTGCGAGTACCTTGGTCTGCGAGTGTTTTGCATGACGAGCAACATTTTAAAATAAATATTAATTTGATAAACGAGCGAGGTCTTGCAATGAGTAGTACGTGTATATGCTTTGTCTGCCGAGCGTCACGTGATCACAACTGATATACGAGTGCTTTGGATTACAAACACGTTTCCGGAACGAATTATGTTTGCAATCTAAGGTTTTACTGTACTACCATTTGCCACTAATTAATGAAATTGGGAACAATGTAAAGTCTTAATACTTAGAGAGGCTTTCCTGTGTATATTGCTATTATAAGACAGAGCAGACAGTTAATAGATATGACATTGTGCAGTATTTGCACTGTCACCATCATCAAAGGTAAATCTGAACATATTGCTGAACTAGCACTCTTAAGAAAATATTCAAGCTTTGGTAGTTGGAAGTTGGGTAGTCAGTGATGTCAGGTGATGTATTTAATTGGGCACAAGGAGAGTTTGCATTTTTATGCATAGGGGATAATATGCAAATCGACTTGAGGGTAATGAGGTTCTTATTGTGCCCAAACTCAATTCATGGATCTAAACCCTAGCTAAATGTAACTCTGATTAAACTTTAAAAGACCAGCATAGTGATTCCTGATTGACAATAATTGTTGTGTTAGATTGCGTCTGCAGCCTTCTGGAACTCTTTCTTTCAATATTAGGAAGCTACTGGAGCTATGCACGTTTAAATCTAGACTGAAAATTAATTTCTTTAGAACTGCTCATTGTGTTTAAGTTTTTCGTCCTTTCCCGCACCTCCGATTAGCACAGATGGTTACATAGGGTGCGAAAAAAGTTCAACGTACGCATGGAGGACATAGCAATCCATGCTCAACTCAGGCTGGGGGGGGGGGGGGAACTTCCTGGGTGGGTACCTTGGCGAGCCCGGCGCGGTGCGCGCCCTGCGATTCAATGTAGGCAACGTAGCGTGAGAAGTTGCGGAACTCCTCAAGCGTCGGCCGAAACGTCATGATCTTGCAGTTGGGATTGGGTGGGCCAGTGCTCTCCGGCACCATTGTGCTCGGTGGTGCACTTGTCGACGCCATAGCTCCCTCCTGTAAAAACACGGCGAGGATGAGAAGCATTAAAACAAATGCACGGCATGTATAAAAAAAGACACATTACCCATCACCACCCTAAATTACTTATCTAGTAAGCAACGTTTGGTTGAACTATTTTGTCATGTTATTTTACTTATCCTGCCTTATTCTCTTGGGAATATGGTGAGTATATAAACATTATCATCAACTATGACCAGTACACTGCTGGATAAAGGGCCCCCCCAAGCCATCAAAGTAATAATTATCAATCAATTATCTGTTTTTTGTGTGTTTAGTTTCTCTTCCGTCCCCCGCACCTCTAATTAGCAGTTGGCTACATACGGTGCACGCAAGACGTTCTAATACACAAGTAAATATGCTAACACCGCACACCAAGTGGCGCCACTGGTCCTTTGTCAAACAACGTTTCCAGAGCTACTCTTCTTGCCAACCGGCAACGCACAACTTTGCATCACAATTCCGCCCCTCAATGCGATTTGAATGGACTAGATAAGGACATTGGGTACGTAACTTAGAGAGGGGCTGAAAACGTGTGCCGTTCAATAGGCCTGTTGTATCAAACACAATGCGTCCAAAATGGGACCTGGGACCTTGTTGGCAGTATCAAAATGGGACCTGTACGGGGATCCCTTACATGTGCACCTTATTTTTTACTCAACTGCGTCCTAAAAAGGCATTTATTCTACAAAATGTGTACATTTGTAGCCTCTTTTTGGAATACGAAACGTTTTTGGCAATACGTATACATTTGATGTCCTTTCATCTTCCGAAGGGCTGTTCAATAAATACATGGACAATTTTTCACGCGTTTAAAACCCAACAGGGGAGGGGGGGAGGTCACTGGATAATGCAAGTTCTGAGCACAACTTTAAAGAACTGTTTTAAGCTACTCTGTTCAAATTCGCACACAATGGTGTGCAAAAGTGACAACAGCATAAATAACCATTGTGGGTTTAGTATTCCCTACGTTTGTAACACAACTGAAATATTTACACGCCGTGTTGCAAAAGAGCCGAGTTGGGGGGCGGGGCATTGCATCACAAGCACTGCGCATTGCGTTAAACAAAATCATTCGTAAATCAAGCGTAAAGAGTATTAGCCGAATAAATTAACTATTAAAACAACTCGTATATACGGCAGGTGCTCTGTGGCGTGGCCTAAATCCAGCAGTAGATTGACAATGGCCGATGGCGATGTTAGCTTTAGCTTAATAAGGCGAAAGCCATCCGATTTATACACTGTACTCTATAGTATAGTATTCAAACCACGCTAACAACAAAATTACTATTCAGCCTAGCGAAATGTATGTAGATTATACATACTGTACTTAGATACACGTGACCCTCCACCTGCCAAGAGACAGTTGTATTCACGAGGATACATATTTGAATCGAATTTCCTCAGGGAAACAAATTAATCATATAGTTGGGAATTAAATTGGTACATATTTGTCGACGAAATTAACAACTGCAACTGTCGGCGCCGTATTATTAATAAATGATGGCAATCTTGCTTGCAACCTTCATCAGCTAGCCGAGACCAGGTTTGAATGCGCTCCTAGGTGAACGCCCACCACCGCAGTGGACAAGTCTTAGAAATAATAAGCCGGTGGTCAGTGGGCAGATCAGCTCCACAGTAGATCCTGGTGGTCAAGGACATGGGCCCACATTTACTGTTCCGTTACTACTGTATATACTATAGTCTACGGGCTGCACTGAAATCTAGCAACCTCATTGGTCAACAAATCGAAGTCTTCAAAAGTTACATCCATTGTTAATTGTTAAATAAGTAACTCAAATACACTAAACTGTAACGCTTAACGTGGACACACAAAACTACACACACTGTAAACCAATGAAGGGATAAGCATATCTAATAAAAATAACGCACACGCTAAAATGTACATACACTGCATGGGCATCTTAAAGGAAAATCCTTTAATAAGCATGGACGTTAACACGTATGTATAAGGTCACATACCACCCTTACAAACGCGTGTAAACAAGTCACTTTCCTTCGTCAAAGGCAAGAGAACACGTGTACTTCAACCCGCAAAGAACGACACGAGGTACGGCCAACAAAACAACCCACACGATGCGCAAAAACACGAGGTAGTTGGGGCATCAAGCAGTGGATCCGCAGTGCGTGGGCTCAGAACTCGCCGTGTTTACGTTCAGCTCGCAATGGCGGCCGCGCCGCGAACCCCAAATCGTTTAAAGGGACTCGAAACTAAATTTTGATTTAAAGCTTTCGTGACTGCAGGAATTCATATGTTTGGTTCTTTCGGTAAAGACACGTAGAAGGGAAACAATATTGTTTTATATTTATATTATTTTATTATTTCCCTTATACGCGACTTTACCGAAAGAACCAAGAAGATGGACTCGAGACGCTCTAGATAACAAAACAAATGGCATTTTCTTCAACAAACGCGAAACGTTACCGCGTATAAAGTCGCCGAACCAAAATCGTGCACTCTTAAGCGATGCCGCCGGTTTTCGTTTTTTAAAACATCTCCCGTTAAGGGCCCGTGGGCTTGGCACTCGCAAGCCTCTTTCTGGAGGCCTCAGTCCAACCCTCGTTCCAAAAAGCGTTAAACAAAAAGGCAACTCTCTCTCAAGTGACAAAGTAACGGCGGCGAGACGACAACGACGCAAATAAGCCGCGTCGCCCCGCGATTATTACAAAACGTTTAAACTTGTGTTGATTTATCAAACGCGAGGAGTCAACGCGGAGGAGGCCGTAGAGGCCTAGTCCGCTAACCCCCCTCAGCCTCGACTTGGGAAGACTGCAATCGCTTGGGCGTCTCTCGATGTTGTTACCTGGCCGCAAGTCGCCTTCGACTCGCGTCCTCAAGCTCCGATTCAAACGACGGTGCTCAAATGAAAACGTGTCAGACGATGAACGTTTCAGAAGACGACAGGGGAAGCTTACGCCGCCTACGTTGATAGATGCGCCCACTTACCGTCACTCGACGCTACCGAGTCCGTCCGCACGAGAGAATGAATCCCCCCCTCCCGAAGGGGCACCGCAGCTTCTTCGGGGAATTATCGGCCTCGACGACGGCGACTCCTGGGTGGGGGGATCGTCTATATACGAGGAACACAATACTTTAACGTTAATTTTGGGGGGGACGATGGTGGTCTCGGACCCTTCAGGACCTACCCGAACCAAGCCGCGGCGACGGATAATGGAGGATAAATAGGAGCGGAGGCGCTTTACGCAGAACTATATCCCTCCGCCGACCGACACGGAGCCGCACTGCGCATGCGCGCGCTGAGGCCAATGCCCGTTTCGGTTTTTTTGGTGGGTCACGTGGCTTGCGGATGGGGGTCACGTGACTAAACATGCTTTGCGTGTGAACATGCCTGTACACTCAGTGGTACGCTTGGATTCAATTGTGTTATATATATTTTTTCTGGATTCCAGTATTCAAAACGCTGCGTGAGATTAGCACCTTTAAACCTGAACGTGTGCCCGATGTAATTCAATTCATGGGTATTGCGAAAGCCGAGGCAGATGGTTATTTTTTCAAAGGTTTTACTGAACTTGAAAGCTGTGTCGTGGTCAAGTTCATTGATTAGGTATAGCCCTGTGAGCCATTCGGCTCTTGAATCGGGTGCAACCGCAACAACAAAAAACATGAACAAGAAAACATTAAAGTGACTATGTGACTAAGTGCAAAGAGAACATCCAAGAAAAGACAGCAAAATATTGCAGAAAAAGCACCGTACACCAACACTGCAAAAATCCCAGTGGGATGCAAGTCAAACAACAACAACCACAAGACAACTTAGATTAAGGACATCAGTCTTACACTCCGTACTACAACAAACAACATGGCCAAACCAAAAACTTTTCGAACTCAAATCTTGTAATCTAAAGTTAGTCTACTTCCTGTTGCCCAATCAATTAAACATTTTGCACGTACTCAGATTCGGTGACAATACATGCCTGTATTAAAATCGGCATCAATTCGTCAATTAATTGCCTCCTTTCAAGCAATAAAAAACAATTCATGGACGGCATATTAATTATATATATAGCTTCAAATCTAGAATTATTGTGTGGAGGTGAAAAACGCTGCGGTCCCGAATCTGGAATAGCCTCGCCCAAGCAGCAGGCGTGGGCCACGTGTCTCGTGTAATGAAGATGCCGTCCGCTTCCCGTTGTCCAATCGAGTTACTGTACTTACTTTTTAGTGCACTTTAAAATAAAACCGTTTTTTTACTTTCTTAAAGGATGTTTTTAATGGAGACAACTTAGTTCTGCTTACAGTAGACTACAGGTGTGATAAGGTCACGTAGGTGACTAAGAGCATGAATCCTTGAAGTCACGAAAGCTTCAAATCTACACGTGTGATGTACTGTTCTAATCTTGATGCTCTACGACAACGCATGAGTTCGGTGTTATAAAATGTGTCGCCCACCGACCGGAATTAACACTCCCAAATGAATAAAATGAATAAAAACACAGGGAAAGGTGTTATACGAATGCGGTATTACGTTCCTATGCACTGAACGTTAGTGGACTGTTCTTTTTACAGTGATTAAAAGTTTGATTTGCACTTAAATGTGATTTAACTTATTTGGATTCAATATCTTTTACAAAATATGCACCCATTTGTTCACATGCATTCACCGTGCCAAAACATGTACGCATTCAACTGTGAATGTAAAAAAAATTCGCTTTAATATATTGTAATAAATATAGCCTTACAATTATTATCTTACCAAAACCATCTATGATCGTACCAATCAGTTGTCACAGAGCCTTTCTCCACGTGTTGCTTCTTGACTTTATATTTCAGCACTGGGTTTCTATTACCGGAGAAACATTTTAAAATTCAGATTTCTACCAAAGGCAGTCAGGTCAGCAGAAGCAGAAAGGTACAAACCATTATCACCATCAGCTAGGATCATACCAAAGCTGAATGGTCTCCCTTTATTAACAAACACCATCATTTGTCCTGCAACAATTCACGCGGAAACTGCACACAGCCGATTTCATCACTCCATCTCCGCGGTGGTTATCCTCTGGAATGCTTTCCATCCTTTGCCTGCCACTCCGTAGTTTATATCTTCATCCATTCCAGGGACGTGTAGCAAACATTTAAAATGGCTCCATTGGTAATCATACAAAAGTCCATGCAGCCCTTCCAGGAGGCGGTCATTTGCATTTAGTATGAACCACATACATTCCAATGTCAGTCCAATGTGATACGTCCCAGCAGCCCATTACGAAATGCCCGGATGAAATTGAACGCAGCCAAGCTGTAGTTGGGAACTGTGATGGTGATGTTTCCTGCAACGGTAAAAGGGGAAGTGCTCAATGTTGTTATTATGTCACTTTAACATGAAAAGCAAACAGCGACAGTGTACACAGTTACCTTATATCAGGTTCACTCTTTTATTTGAATACTTGCCGTTTATTTGATTCATAATTTGGAAAAAGTCCTTCGAAAAAATGTGTCCTTGGGATAAAACATTTTTACAGGATTTTAGATTTGCTCATGTAAATGCATTTATGGTGCATTTGTGAATGAGAAAGCTTAATCTTCATTTGATAAATTCCATAGAATCGTAAAAAGCTTGAATTAATAGATTATGGTGGAAACAAGGCATATATCACAAAGTACACAAACACCAATGAGCTGTTAAGGAATACAATTCAATTATTGAAATTACATTACTCAATTTCTATGGATATGCTGTGATATACAATTTAACTTGGCTAGTGTTTGGAAAATCATTTCGTTTTACAGAAAATCGTAAACCATGTCAGGAGGCAAACTAAACGTTGTTAATAATACAAGCCTGTTTGTTATTATAGAAGTTTTTTTCGTGATTTGCTTATCCTTCCTACATTTAGCAGTCCTATAGTTGTTTTGTATTCTTTGTTGTTGCAACTCTGACCTGCCCCGACTGGATATCTGTGAAAAAGAGCTTCATAGCTCATCGGATTTCTCCAGGAAAATATTCTGAATATCCCGTGGTCTTTAAATAGGTTAGCGTCATTAAGCCTATATTGTAACACCCAAGAGTTACAATTCACACTGCAGGTGGCTGTGCCTCTGAGGGACGGGAAGGCATGCAGCGCCGGGTGATGTGGCAGTTCGGTGCGTGCCACCACTCACCCACGCCTGTTAAGGCCTTCATTCTGCGTGTTTTGTGCAGCTTCACAGCGATGTGCTTCAACACGGTTTGTAAGTCATCCTGCGGCTCCCCAAGCCCGTAATGTTCCACGTACCTGTCCAACACACACATGGCCAAAACACCATTCAACATAACGCTACCATGTAGGAACATTACAATACAAATGTCGGTGTTTTGTTTGCCATTAATGCCAGTTTGAGCTACCACCAAATGGTATGTAAAGATACCGGTTGGCTGGTACAACATTTCCAGAACAAAGCAAAGGCCTGTGTAATTTTAGCTTAGTTTTATTAAAAAAAAAAAGTATTATTTTTGCTGATGATTTATTTTATGCTGCTGCATTGGCATTGCTGCTGCATTGGCATTGTTGCTGCATTGGCATTATTGCTGCATTGGCATTATTGCTGCATTGGCATTGTTGCTGCATTGGCATTCTTGCTGCATTGGCATTGTTGCTGCATTGGCATTGCTGCTGCATTGGCATTGCTGCACCGCCCATGCTCTATCTACGTGACTTTACCGAAAGAACCAAAGAATATGAATTCCTGCAGTCACGAAAGTTAAGTCAAAATTTATACGTTTGGAATCAAACTTAACCAGACAACTTTATGAATAAGAATATCTTTTATGTTGTATTTATACAGGGAGGAACAATGTTCCACACTGCCCACCAGGGATTATTTAGCTGTCTGTCTGACTGTCTGTCTGTCGTACATAATATATAATACACACAGCTCTTTGATTGGTGGAGACCTTACAAACAGCTCTTTGATTGGTGGAGACCTACTGCCAGGTACGGAGAGGGGAGGTGCCTAAGGGAGGAGGGTCAGGGGAGGGGCCTAAAGAAGGGGGGAGTCAGGAGAGGGGCCTGAGGGGGGGGGGTCAGGGGAGCGGCCTGAGAGGGGGGTCAGCGGAGGGGCCTGAGGGAGGGGGGGTCAGAGGAGGGGCTTAAGGATATGGGGGGAGTGCTCAGGGGAGGGGCCTAACAGAAAGGGGGTTAGGGGAGGGGCCTAAGGGAAGGGGGGTCAGGGGAGGGGCCTGAGGATATGGGGGGGGGGGTCAGGGGAGGGGCCTAAGGGAAAGGGGGTCAGGGGAGGGGCCTAAGGGGGGAGGGGCCTAAGGGAGGGGGGGGGCGATAGTTCAGGGGGCTGTCTGCCTGGCTACCTAAAGTCAAGTTATCTTGTATACATAAAGGTAGGAACAACAGGTTCCACACTGCCCACCAGGGATTATTTGTCTGTCTGTCGTGCACGAATGCGCTGTCCAACCAAGTTCCTACCTGCCCACTCTGAAGGAACGTGTTTTTTTCACATATCCTGGAATGAGCTCAAGTTGCCAACTGATGACATGAACTAGGCTTGAAATGTATTGAATCGTGCATGTAAGAATCAATTATGAACAATGCATTACTACTATAATGAGGCAAGAATGTCTGTTTGTGTGTAACGTGCGTGACGTCACTCCACATGCTGCCCCCCCCCCTCATTAATATTCATGAGCGCGTGGATTTTTACACTCGCAGAAGGTCGAGCGGAAATAATTTCGCAAATGCGCTTTAAGTTTGACGTTTCTTTATTGAAAGTGAATCCAGTAAATAATTCTACTCAGCAACTAAGTGGATTTGGTGTCTTTATTTATTTATTCAGCACTTGAGACAAAAGGTAAGTCTAATTTATTCTTCTACATTATGGTAAAATAGACATTTCTCGGTGATTATCCAGATATTTGATCGAAATCTAATTTATTTCAACCCCAGTGACCGAAAGCAGAAGAGAATAAAGTATCAGAGCAGTGAATTTGAACAAATTGAAGGTCAGTTATATACAGTGCTACAGTGATATGCAGTTAAGTGTTTGATGACATACTTTTGTGCAAGATTCACTGCCATTACATTTATGCAAGATACAATTATACTCTGCTCAATTTTTTCGTAAATATTACAGCGTCCGTCCTAGGACGGGCAAACAAGCTAGTTATAGATGTTAATCCAACATCTTGAAGAATGGAGAAAACAAAGTGCATGTGGGATATAACACAAACAATATAAGAGGCAGTAAAGTGGAAAAAAAAAATCGATTCTTGAAGTGAATCGTCACCCCAGTGACAAATGATATGCTGTAACATGTATGCTAATATGTTGAAATGTGTAGACGTATAAAAAATATGAATGCTGGGAAAAAACAAGACAAAGAAAAAAATGTTTATCAAATAGTCATTTCATTCAATCATCACATGCCTTGTCTTGACGATTAATCTAGACCTAGGTGCCAGCCCAAAGAACAATGCTGAATGACCTCACCCAAACAGCTGATGCTTGTTGAGCGAGAAGAGCAGGTAGTCTGCAATGGCATCTTCCCCCACCAGGTGATCCAGAATGGTGCCTACTCCAACAGCAAAGGGGGTACGAAATGCATGCGGATTCACTTCACACATCGACCAAGTCACCATTTTGCAAATAATAATAACCATCTTTCCCTTCCCTTGCCTATGGCCCAATCACTGCCTGAGCTCATGAGGAATCCAAAGCTAGTCAGGGTTGAGAGCGTGCTTGTTTTGGTGCACATCAGGTTGTTGTCGGCTGCTCTGGGGATGAGGTATCCAGAAGTGAACAGTGCAGAAAACTCCATTGTTGTGCTGTTCGAAGTTCCCAAGTCTATGCTCCACACTTTTACCAATCCTCACTGACCAGCGTGAAGTGTAGTCAAAAATACCCCATGAACCACAGTGTGGGGAGGCCCTCATCCAGCACTCGACTCAAAAAAAGGGTGGTTCATGTACAAAAACGTCCTTCATATGCAGACCTACTTCAGAGATGGTGGCTCAAGGAGATACATTTATTTAGGTAGGTATTTAACAGGACCTAAAGCCACGCCACACATGCTAGATTCACCATCTTCAAGAACAGAATAAAGTATACTTTGGTTCTGAAAGCTTTATTACCGCAAAGTGCGAGCTTCATGCCGACCTCAACATTTTTGATACGTGGTGACATCACTCCTGGTGTGTCCAAAAGGTAAATCTGTGGTTGTTGGCACACCTGCACAAACACACACATCAAAGCCAGCCCACATTTACACGTGTGCATGAAAGCACTCTATGTAACTTCTTTTGCACCACACGTAGCCAACCATGATAATTGGAGGTGTGGGGAAAGGACAACAATCTAATCACAAAAAGCAATGCTAAAGAAATTAGTTGTCAATCGATATGTAGGGGTGTAACAACGGGATGATGCATTCATATATTATTAACCTCAACTCATGAAGTGTGCTAAAATATATTTCTTGCAATTTTCACATTGTATTGAATTGACATTTTTGGTGTTTAGTTTGGTGTCCTTCTCCCGCACCTCTGATTAGCATGGTTGGCTAAGTACAGTGAGAAAAAAGTTAATATACATACGTGCACATCAACTCCTGCAGCCAACTATAGGCGCTACCGTTCACATGTAAAGAAAAACAATGGATTCTTCAATCGTGATTGTTGAGCAGGCAAGTCATTCCACTGGCTGTGCATAAGCATTTGCAAGTCTGGTTCTAACTGGAGAAGATATGAATAACAAAAACAACCTGAATGCGGGTGAGAACGGCTTTTGTAATTCCAGGTTCCCCACCAACTTTAGATGCTTTTCCTAAAAGACAAGGAATTCAAGAAAGCATTAAAGTAAAAAAAGCTCGTTTTTCTAAAAGTTGTAACTTTTTAATCGACTCATTAAGCAGTCTAAAAATCACGTATTATTACGTAAGTTAACACAACAAAATCATTGCAAGTATGAATGTTACCTCTTTTTAAATGACGCCTTCGCAGTGCATTAATGAATGAAGACTTCCCAACGTTGGGTATTCCTATCACCATCAGACTATAGTCTTGCTCCTGACAGATACAAAAGACAACATCACTTTTAGCCAGGACAACATATTGGGCAATTGCTGTTTAGTAGGCACTTCATCAGCCTTCACGTGACACAAGGAGATAATGAGTAATAATGGTGCTCAGCCACATAAAACACTTATTTTGGCTGGCTCAACCTAGAAAAGATCCAGACTCGGTTCAAATACCTATTACCACCGAATGGCCATGCATCTTGGGGAGCTGGCACTATTACACGTTGTATGAACAACGTATTTTCATTTGCAAATAGAACACAAGCATTATAAACATCCTAACTAGCGAAATCTTCACTTGCATAAACACAAAAACATGAAAATGGTCCTCATTAATTTCTTACCAATTAATCATGCATACATTTGAGATAATTTGAATTCACTTTCACGTTCATTTATTTTAAACAATTACACAGGAGAAACGTATTTTCCATGTTTTTATCTCCATTGCAACAACTTGACCACAGGGGAGCATGCGCATTAAAATTAGATATATTTTGTTCCACCCGCTAGAGTCCCTTGTGAGAATGTGGCACGACAGGTTCCGCACCTCCACTCGGTTGAAGCGTGGACTCAGCTCTATCAGGTTGCTCACCGCCGGCACCACCTGGGACACAACGAAAATTTGCAACTGGCAACGGGGCTTGCTGGAGCGCAGTACAGTAATAGTAACTGAGTGGCAATCGTTGATGCATGACAAAATGTACGCAAAATTGACGAATGAACAAATAATGTTCATCTTACTTAAATTGCATATTAAGCACCTGTTAAAACAATGAAGAAAATGCATGCAGATGCATGGATTATGAAATACTTTTTTATATTCATTTGTCCTTGAAATGAATTAAGTATAGAAGACATAAAGCAAAATACATTTGAATATTTGCAAACAGTACTTTTGGCTCTGGTGTTTCCAAAGTTTGGAAAACCTTTTGATGTAATTTGAATGGTTTAAAAAGGGTATGTCCCTGAGAGCAGAAGGGTAATTCGCATTGGAGCGTTATCTAGACCCCATGTTCCAGAGCGAATGCATTAAAGCTTTCAACTTTTGTTAAAAATAACCCTCACAACAAATCCAGCTCATACTGCTCTTACACAGTTGTAAAGCATAACAAAATATAAGAGTATATGTGTCCTGCCCTTCTGAATGTCTCTGTACATCACCATACCTTACGCAGGCTGAAGCTTGTCTCATCAGCACAATTTGTAAATAAGACGTTGGATACACCTCGTTTCTCCAGTTCCTGCAAAACCCTCTGCACGCACAAGGTATGCAATAATGCTCTTACAAGAGTTAATGTTACGCATTGTAACCATAGCACATTCTTATACAGAAATGGAAATCATTTCTTTGAGCACACTCTATAAAAAACATAATTGGATACGAGTGAAAATACATATGCAATCATAAAAGCAAAAGATTAATGAAATAACATGTACCCACTTCTATTTATATTCTTGCCTATGGCAATATGTTCAGGAGCTAATGCCAATGTCAAGGATATCTAGCCACGAGAAGTCTTCAGGAAAGAGTTCCTGTAGTTTTGCCGTTCCAACAATGAAGGGGCACAGACCACAATGGTTTACGATATGGTCCATAGTTTCATTTGCACAGCCAGTTGCACTGTTGCTTGGAAAAGAATAAGTTTGTAGAATGACGACTCACCTGTTTTTGAGTCATGTCTGCTAGGTCCATTTTGTTCAGAACAAGCAGGTGTGGACGCACAGAAAGGTCCTCCTGAAGAGGCAAGTTCCGGCCAGAAAGCGGAATGTGAATTTCTGTCAAGGAAATATTTTTACTAAAAGATTCCACATTTACTCACTAAACTGTAATTTTCATCTGGCAGGAACTCACCAGTTCATCTTCGGAAATATATGCATCCATCTGCGTTGCCAGGCCAAGTAGCACACATCTATAATCCAGCACATTGGGGGCAAGCATTGGTATACCACAGATTTGTAGAATTCCCATATCCATTGCGCTGAAAAAGTGGCGAAGATACGGCAGTAAATAAACTGATTATTAAATTGACCTGGAGTGGTTATTTCTGCATATGCATCAGTGTCCTTTGTTGTCTACATCCAACATGTAAAATACTTAACACGTGAATTGTCTGAATATCCAAATTAAACTATTTTTCTTTTATTTTATCAGGTAAGGCCCACTGAGCTAATATAGTTTTTTCACAAGCGACTTGGTCAAAAATGATAGCCCAAAGAAGTGTCTTATAATGTGGAAATGTATAGCAGCCAAATACTCTAAACACATGTTTCTAAATGTGGAGAGAAAACCCAGAGAAAAATCCACGCTACCACGGGGAGAACAAGCCAACTTCAAATATACAGACGTCGGACACAATAAAGTGCCCTCTTAGGTGTCTTGAGATACGTTTTCATGGACTTGCATTTTGATGCTTATGTACCAGGTTGTGTTGAATGAAACTAAACAGTGTAATGCTACGTCACACACAGAGTTTTCCAGATTAGAATTAGTAGAATGCACCTGCCTGTTTATTAAAATATAAACATTTCTTATTCCCATTCACCGTGTTAAACTGCTCTTTAACAGTCCATTATAATTACATTCAAAATCCTTTGGTTGAAATCACTGGAAACCCAGTGATGTTGAACTAACTCCACGCTACTTCTGCTATGCTACATTTGACGTGTCTGAGCTATGTTGTGTGGGTAATGATAACAAGCGTCGTTCTTTAATAAGAAAGGATATCCTCGCATCGTGCACCTCCACCACACAATCCACCTTGTGTAGAATGGACTTCATCTGGCGCACACCTGTATCGCACAAAAAAGAACACAACATACTTTGCATACACAAATGGGTAGGAGCAACGCATTACAATACTTCGACCAATTTCACACGCAATTCGCCTGATCTGGAAAGCGAAGCTGAGATCAATGTGGACAATACTTGTGCAGCATTGGGAAAGGCCGGTGCAGCAAAAATCACAGCATATCTGCGGAAATGTTACCATCCTTCAACGCGCGTTTACCACTGTGGTGTAGTATGGTCAAATTACACGTTCAGCCTGCAAAGCGGGGAGGCCTTTAAGCCCCTTATCCAGCAGTGGACTGACAAAAAGTCTTGTACATGTTAAAAGTAGGTGATGTTGGCTGGCAATGGTTTAGACTGATGGCCTTAATCTAAGTTGTCTTGTGGTTTTTGTTGTTTGACTTGCATCCCACTGGGATTTTTGCACACAGCATTGGTGTACGGTGTTTTTTCTGCAATATTTTGCTGTCTTTTCTTGGATTTTCTGTTTGCACTTAGTCACATAGTCACTTTAAGATGTTTTCTTGTTCATGTTTTTGTTTTTTGTTTGTTGCGGTTGCACCCGATTCAAGAGCCGAATGGCTCACAGGGCTATACCAAATAAATGCACTTGAACTATCTTTGCGAGCATGCTTACTCCAGAGGGCAAATGAACAGCATCACACAAATTCATATTTAATACTTCAGTTCTCGAATTCTGAAAGTCTCACAGCATCTCAGCTTTCCAGAGAAGCACACGTTACTTGTCACAAAGTTTAAAAGTATTTGACATTTTATTCGTTTAAATCATCCGGAGCAGGCCCAACTGGCGCCTACGGCCTTTCCTAGCTACGCATGCCGACGATAGGCGCGCCTCGCCCGGCTGCAGGCGGCGTCCACCCCCCCCCACCCCCCCCCACCCCCCCACAGACGCGTCCTCGCCGCTATGGACAATCACGGCCCCGACACGGGAATGTGGAATTTGTACCCCTCGCCATGTGCCGCGGGAACCACGACGCCACGTCCCGTCCGCCGAAGTCGAAGGTCTCCCTGAAGGAGCGAAGAGTCGCGATCAGCCTCATCCTCCCGGTGCGGGCTTCGGAGCGGGAGGAGGAGGAGGCACGTGGAGAAGGGGGAGGAGTCATCGTGAGCCATGGTCTATCCACTGCTAGACAATCTGTTTGGTACTCTTTTTTTTTAGGTAAAGTCACGTAAGTAAGAAAATCAATAATAAAAATAATAATAAAAAAATAATAGAAAAATAATAGAAATAAAATAATTGTTTATTTCTAGATTTGAAGCTTTCGTGACTGCAAGGATTCATATTCTTAGGTTGTTTCGGTAAAGTCACGTAGGTAAAAAAAATCAATAATAAAAATAAAAAATAATAGAAAAATAATAGAAATAAAATAATTGTTTATTTCTAGATTTGAAGCTTTCGTGACTGCAAGGATTCATATTCTTAGGTTTTTTCGGTAAAGTCACGTAGGTAAAAAAAAATCAATACTAAAAATAAATAAGAAAAAATAATAGAAATAAAATAATTGATTATTTCTAGATTTGAAGCTTTCGTGACTGCAAGGATTCATATTCTTAGGTTTTTTTCGGTAAAGTGACGTAGGTAAAAAATTCAATACTAAAAATAAATAAGAAAAAATAATAGAAATAAAATAATTGATTATTTCTAGATTTGAAGCTTTCGTGACTGCAAGGATTCATATTCTTAGGTTTTTTCGGTAAAGTCACGTAGGTAAAAATTAAATTAATAAAAGTACAATAAAAATAACCGAAAAAAACCTAAGAATAAAATTGTTTATTATTTATTTTTATTATTTACTTTTTACCTACGTGACTTTACCGAAAAAACCTAAGAGTATGAATTATTTCAGTCACGAAAGCTTCAAATCTAGAATCTGTTTGGTGGTATTGGGGTGGCAGTGGGGCACAAGCAATACCAACAACAACAACAAACTCAACTCGTTACGTCCAGTGGCGTCGTCACGCAATTATCAGACTAGGGGGTGTGCGGCAATCAGTCAATCTAATTCTAGATTTGAAGCTTTCGTGACTGCAAGGATTCATAATAATAATATAAATAAAATAATTATAATTTTATGAATGTAATTTTATTTCTATTATTTTTCTTATTTTTATTTTATTTTTTATTTTTACCTACGTGACTTTACCGAAAAAACCTAAGAGTAGTCAATCTAATAGCTGTCAACCCGTACGGGTTTTCCCCGTGTTCTTGTACAGGGAAATTGAGTTTTCAGGTCCACACGGTGTACAGCCGTTTCAATTACGGGCACACACTTTTGTTTGTCTATTTGTTTGCGTTTCTCCCTTGTGATGGGACATTGTATGATGAACGTTGAGATTTATAAGGGCACGGGGTGACCTATAAGGTGTGAATTGGTCTGTCATAAGGTGATATATGGGGGTTGGCAGCAAAACTAACAACAACAAACTCAACACATTACGTGTGAGATGGGGCCCCATTGTTGTGGTTTGTCTCGCACGGACACACCGAGAGGCAATTATATATCGCGACTCCACTTGCCACAATCCACGTCGTCGTTGCGCCCACGGTGTCGAACATTTAACGCTGTAGGGGGCGCTCCGTCTTCGCAAAAATGTAGCCACTTCAGCTCCGTTAGTTACCTCTTTTTGCAATATAACTGACCGGTATCAAATACAATACATATCCCAGAAAGGGAGTTCGCATTTTCATTTAAAAAAAAGTTGTTTAAACGGGGTTTTAAATGAGTTTTCGTTTTTTTTCTTCCACTGTTATTGAAAACATATCTGATGGTGGTTGTCAAGGGGGCCCCAACTCGTAGGGGGAGCTATCGCACCCCCTGGCCCCCCACGATACGCGCCTGCACACGTCAAACACATACCTGCTGAGGGAGCTGGTAGGAACGTTGGGATGCTCGGTCAATGGCCAGGGTCAACGGCGGCGTGGTGTATTCCGCAAATATGCCCGACTGTGAGCGCGGGTTAAACGTTGAGTTTTATAAGGGCACCACGGGGTGACCAGCCCCTCCCCACCCAGCCCTAGCCCTCCCACACCCCACCCAGCCCCACCCTCCCCACCCAGCCCCTCCCCACCCTCCCCACCCAGCCCCTCCCCACCCTCCCCACGCAGCCCCACCCTCCCCACCCTCCCCTCCCTCCCCACCCAGCCCCTCTCTGCACGACGGACACAATACTCCCCTGTGGGCTGGTGTAACCAGGAGGTTCCTACCAGTATAACACTGCGCCTCCGATAAGTATGGTTGGCTACGTAGAGTGCGAAAGAAGTTCGACATACATTAAAAAGGGAAAACATAATACGCAACATTTCGGGCAATGACCCTTCCTCATAGCAAATGGAGGTCAGAGAGATAGAGTGGATAAGAGATGGAGACTGCATTCATCAAGCCCCACAGTGTAAAGTGCAGTCGCCAACTACTGCATAGGGCAGAACGATTTGGGGAAAATATCTCATTTCGATTTTTCTGACAGATATTGCGATTTGATTTGCGATTCAAAATTTTAAAGTCAAGCTTCAGTTCAATATTCACTGTGCAATATATTTAAAACATGTGATGGAGCATTACCACATAATACCATCAAAATATTAACTACTCTGTATATTCTAATGTAAGGATGAGAACTTAAAAGATATGAATTGCTTCCAACATGTATTTATTAAAACATTTAAATTGAAATAGAACAATCAAACATAGAACAATTGTTAAGTTAAATAAAAATGTTATAATAATTTAATAATTCCAATCAGAACGTAATAGGTCTTTTAAAATCGCAAAAAATCGCAGCCTTTGCGATTTGCTAATCGCATTTTTTCAAATTGCGATTTCGATTTGAATCGATTAATCGTTGAGCCTTACTACTGCACAAGATGGTCCAGATGTCTTGTGACCCAAAATCAATTGACCCCTAACATGTTTTTTTGCATATTAATTTCTGTGATAAATAACTCTTACTTGAAACACATTACGTTTTAGAGAAATCAAAGGTGGCCACAATAGATCTGCCCCCCCCCCCCCCCCTGTACTATATTTTCCATTTGAAGGCGGTATTATTCATGCATTTGTTGAGTTCCTTGTTTTGTTATCACTACTGGACACATTCATTGAGATTTCCCCACCAAGCCATCGCCATCTCTCTCACTCTCCTGCGATGTAATTGTAGTGTCGGGTCTAAGAAGACGGAGCAGCTGATGAAGAGGAGGGAATGTAGTGGTTGTGAAGGCAGAGGACGAGAAGTAGGAAGAAGATGAGTAGGAGGGGCAGCTGTAGACAATAGAGAAGGACTGACCCAGAGACGTAAACTCGAGTCCCCTTGCCCCAATCTCTCCTGGACCCCTTGACCCAGTCTCCCGGGATCCCCTTGACCCAGCCTCCCCGTGGTCCCCTTGCCATTTGTATTGCCTGTAGAGGCCGCCAGAGCGCCACTCTGAGCTGCAGAAACATTTTCTCACGAGTGACCCATTCATACGGGCAAACAGCCCATTAACCATTAGCCATAGCAAACTACGGTACTCTACATTTACTCATTCATATGAGTTTTAATGATCTACGAACGCATGTGTCAGAGCACTGAATTGTTCATGTATTGATACACTTAATCAAGAGCGTGTTTACAACACAGTGATTCTCAACGAGCTCACACCTGGTGGTTATGGAGGACCTTATTGTGTTTTGCATGGTGGCGTGTTGGATATACTGGTTCTCGCCATAATAACATGGACCCTTAACTATCATACTGTTCATCACCTTGAAGTACATGAGTTCAACGAACGTATGTCTTCACGTATTCATTAATCCATGCATGTATGTATGCATTCATTCATTTATACTATTTGAAATCTTAGAGGTAGGCCTGTGCACAAACTGGTTCTTTCCATAGGAATGTGGAATTGAACACCAAAAAAACCAGCAACGCAGTTCCAATTTTATTTTACATGTCCATGTTTCAGTTCAGTTACCAGTAGCCTGACTCATTCATTGATCCGTTTGTCAATCCACTGCTGGATGAGCACTGTGCAGGACGTGGATTTTATTTGACTATTCTGTACTTCACACTGGCCAGTATGGGTTGGTAAATGCGGGGATATTAGGTGCGGTGTTATAGAAGTGCAGTACAACTGAATTTTGCCGGACTGCCCATTTACACGACTTTATATTTGTACCCTTTAAAGAGATTGGTCCCTGCCACAAGAATGTGAAATTTACATCACCAGCTCAGAGTTGCTTAAAAATGTTTACACTGTCCCATGCTCACTTCCAAGTGGATACCCGTTTACTGGACTTTCTGACGACCTAATTTAAACAAACAATCCATTCACCCATACAAGCATTTCTGTGTGCACGGAGTCAGTTTAACTGTACTGAATTCACATCGGAAAAAGTGTCATCTGCCGTGTGACACATTGCCATCATTGTATGTTTTGTGTTTATTCAAATCACTACCCGCACCAGAATGAACTCTGGCACACTAGGAATAACCAGGTATACCCATCCGATACCAGTTCAGGTGGTCATGTTGCTGTTATTAAAGCGCTTTCGGTACATATCTTCGGAATGCTTGCTTAAAGAAGTACAAAAGATACGATGAATGAAAAGCATAAATTGCTTTGCAGTGCAATCGATCCATTGTAATGTCGGTAGTGACCCATTGCAGGCTTTGAAATGGATGGAAATTCAGCAGGGAGTATAGACACACACACAGAGAGTGGTGTTTGTGTGCGTGCCTGCCTGGGGTCTGCTCGTCCGCGCAGTTTGTTGGCACGTTAACAGACAAGCGATGGCTGCTCGGTCCTTGCACCGGACACAATAAGCGTGTCCTTTCAACTTTCAGAAGTTTGTTTAAGCGTCTGCGTTTAAAACGCATTGTGCAACCGCGAAAAGAATATCCCTTCCTTTTGAAACGGCAGACCCAGAAGTAAATTGCTCAAACGTCACAGGATGAACCAACTTCATACACTTAATAATAAACGGGACAGAATAAATGCGGTATGAGGAACAGAGAGAAACATAGATGATAGTTTCCAGATAAAAAAAACGAATTCTGAATGTTTGTTTTCACATTGTCCTAACCTGGCTGAACTCAAGGGCA